CTTTTCTTGGCCAGGTGGAAGGTTTTAGCCTTGAGGACACAAGGAACCTGGAGGGCAGAGGTAGGGGCTCCAGGCCCCCGCCCCGCGGGACGTCCAAGTCCGGGGTCTGACTCCCTGTCCCCTGGCAGGAGCAGCACCCACCGCGCCCTAAAGAGGAGGCCCCTCCACGGGACGGCGCCCAGAGCCTAGCGCATTTGGCTGGGCGACCCTATGACCCCAGAGGGCCTCCCCCGCCGCCCCGCTCTCCCCTCAGTTTGACCTATTTTCTGCCCGGCGCCGAGGAAGGTGGGACGGAGGCCGAGGGGCTCCACGAGCAGAGGGGCTGGAGCCCGGCGCGCTTCCAGACAGGGCCCCTCCCGACCCGGATCCGCTGACCGCCCCGCGCCCGGCCGCGCACCCACCTGCGGGGGCCGCGACGGCGCCCTCGTCGCTCTGGTTAAACTCGAAGAGGAAGTCAAAGTCGAACTCCTGGTCCTCCTCCAGCCCCGTCATGTTGGGTCGGGGTCGGGGGTCAGAGGGCCAGGGCCGGAGTCGGGGTTCGAGGACAGGGGTCCAGGGTGGGGGTCGGGGCTCGGGGTCCGAGTCCTAGGTCAGGGGTCCGAGGTCAGGGTTGGTATCAGATTCGGGGTCCGGGGTCTCATCGGGTCTGGGGTCGAGGTCTGGGGTCGAGGCTGGGTCGGGCTCCTAGGTCGGGGTCAGGCTGGGGTCCGGGGTCGGGGTCTAGTGACGGGGTCCCGGGCCGGGCTCCGCGATCGGGCGCGGGCCGCGGGCACCTGTGGTCGCGCCGCCGGGGCTCGGCTGCGCCCGAGCTCGGCCGCGCGTCCTCGGTAACGTGACTCCCGCGCCCCTCCCCCCGGCCCTCCCCCGCCGTGCCCCTCCCCCCGCTGTTTCCGGGTTTACATAAACAAGCGGCTCGCCGGCCGCCGGCTTCCGAGTTTTAAATAAACTCTCCCCGCGAGCAGGAGCGCACGCCTTTCACTGGTGTCCCGGCTCCCCGCGCCCCCACCCGTGCCCGGGGGCCCCCCAGGAAGCTCTCGGGGTCCGCCCCCAAGCGCGAAGGAGATCCCCGAGTGCCACCCGGGTCCGCGCTCGGGGGGTGCACTGGTGCCGGAGAGGGGGCACACGGGGTCTCCGGCCACCTCGGTCCGCCCGAGAACCCATGCGGCGGGTGCCAAGTGGACAGAAGCTGGGGGTGCGGACGGAACCAGGCGGTGGACCCCCTCCCACCCGCAGTCTCGCTCGGGGAGGCGGGCGCACCGAGCGGCAACGGCGGTTCCACTGGGGAGGGGCGCAGAGCCGGGGACGCGCGGCCCGGACCACAACGGCTCAGCTGAGCGGCAGAAGGAACCTCCGGGCGGCCGCCGGCCCCTAGGACGGGGAGCCCCCACCTCCGTCCTGCCGGAGCCCCGCAGGCCGGGCCGGCTCAGAACCCCCTGGATGGCAGGGCCAGCTTCCAGAGGAGCAGCTTCTTCCCCAACCCGCACGCACGACACTGCGCTCCGGCCCGTGCAGCTCAGATCACCCCACCCCCCCGCCCCGAGAGTCAGGAGGTGGGAGGTCATGGGGACGCCAGGGTCGCGCTGCTGCCTGCGCCGGCCGCCTTCTCGCGCGGCCTGCTACCGGCAGGCTGATGCACAACTTTTTGTACCCCTTTCCTTTTTGTACCCCGCTCACTTTAGTCCCTCAAATTTCTGAAACACGCGTGCAAACGCCTGTGGGCCCACGAGTAGCCTGCCAACCATCCCTGAATCACCCCAGAGCTCCCCCAGACCGAGCGAGAAGAGGGGAGCCCGTGGGGGTGACACCCAAGGCCCGGGCACAGAGCAGCGTGTGTGTACAAAGTCCGTGTACGAGCTAGGCCCGCCTGAGACCAGCCCGCCCCCGGCCCAACTGGACTTTCTCCCAGCCGTTCTGACTTCCCCAGGGTCTTGGCGCCCCGTGAAAGCAACATCTGGAAAAGCCTGAGAAAGGTGGTCAGGAAGGCGGGGGGCGGGGTAGGCAGAGAATCGCCCACGGGGGAAGGAGGCGGTGCTCAATGGTCCGTTTCTGCGACTCGGCTGCTAATCCAGCCTGCCGCGTCCTCCCCTCGGCCGTGCAGTCCCTCGGCCCCTGGGGACTGCTTTTTCTGGAAGCAGAGAACCTGGGAATCACCTGACGCCCTCCCCCCCAACTCTTCTCTCTCAGGACCCTTTTCAAAAGGCTGGTTTTCTCCAGTGATAAACCATAGTTCACTTTGGCCTGATTTAGTTTCTAATAATAGTCCTAACTTTAAGATGTATGTTGGAGGGCTGTTTTGTTTTAGTTTGCTTTTTTTGCTGACCTTCAGGCAAATGGAAGTTCTGTTTTCCGTTCAGAAGCCACAGCATTTCATTTTTCTCTTTTCGTTTTTTTTTTTAAGTTCAGCCACTTTCTCACCCCCGCCAAAAACCTACACACAAACCTAACAGCCTCTACCCACTGTTTACACTAAAACGTCTCTCTCAACTGTTCTGTCCTGGAGAAAGTGGGTTTACCCTTCCCGGTGGACCCGAGTCCCCCAGGATCAGGACTCAGGTCTGCTTTGTCCCAAGAAGGAGCTGATCGCCCACCAAGGTCGCCCGAGAGGGGGCCGTTTTCTAACTGGTCCCCTCACCAGCACCCCCAGTGCCTTGCGTCTTGTAAATGGTTTGGAGCTATTTGCCAATTCAGCAGACACTCCTGTCTTGATGGAAATGTTTAGCTTGGCGCTTCCTCTCAGCGGCGGCGGGTGTGCTCGGGGCCCAGGCCTCCAGCCCTGCGAGCGATGCGGCCACGGGGCCTTTCTAATCTGGATTAGGAGACGACGCGGAGCGAGGCGGCGAGAGAACAGGGCGGGCTTTGTTCTGTCCTGGAGCGCCCCAGGCATTCCGTGTGGAGCAACTTCTGAATGGGTGGTGGGCGTACCTACAAGGCCCGCATTTCTCTGCCTTCCCCACGCGGAAAAACAAGCACAGGGCCTTCCTGAACAACAGGCCTAATGAGCTTTGACCAGATGCTCATTTAACTGGAGGGGAAGGCTGGGGATTCCCTCAGATTCTCAGATGGGCAACCAAAGCCCAGGCCGGCCGGCGGGGAAGGCCAGATCCTGCCGCCAGCCCTCAGCAAGGCAGGCGTGGACCTGCAGACGGGCTCTGCCTCTCACACCCCGCTCCTGTCTGTATGAAGGATTAGATCATGCTTACTTGTTGGCCTAATTCTGCAGTCCTGATACATGCACCGATATTTGTTTAGTCGAAGGGCATCACCGCGCCTGGCGAGCTGTCTCTGAGCTGTGGCACCTTAGAATGTATTCTCTTGTGTAGGAAACAGGACAAATAATCACCCCCTATAGATGTCTTTTCTTCTTGTAAGAGAAAAGAAAGACCCTTTATTGACGACAGACCACCTACTGCTCAAGTAAAGAGATCTAAACTTTGAAAGACCCACATATTTAAAAAGCAGAGGTAAGAAACATGTGGGGGAAACTTTGATGGAAAGTGCCCAAAGATGTAAAATCAAAATCTTGACAACTTGTAAAACTTTTCTGACAGTAAAAGAGCTCGTTCTGTAAGCATTATCTACTGCTTACATTTAAACATTTTCTAAATTGGCATGAAATGGTAAGAAACATAAGGTATATGTTAATATATACCTTCCCTTGATTAAAACTACGTAGAAATAACATAAGACATCAAGGCCCTGACCCCCAAAGAACGTTCTTACATTGAGTGTAGGGTCTTGAGCGTATTTTGCTGACGGTGAGAAAGTTCTCCAGAGCAGGCAGTCTTTGAAAACTGCAGTTGTGCTGCAAGTGGGGCCGTCATATTTATTAGAATCGTGCAGGAGGTGGTAGCATTTAGTTTCTAGCACTTCCCAGAAGGATGTCTGCCCTTATAAAATATGAGTACTCATTACATATTGGCAGCCTTGGCAGTTTTCTTAAAATAATTTAGACAAAGTACTTCAGCGCTGATAAGGCGTTTCAAAAGGTGTCTCCGGCTTCCACCAGAGCCCTGGCCCTGGTGGCCTCTCACAGGAGGCTAGTCACCCCTTTGCTCCAGGCTAATTGGGTGGTGGGGGAGTTCGGGGGTGGTGTTGGCTGTTTCTAAGGGCGGGTGAGGGGCTTTGGACCTGAGGCTGCACGCAGGAGGGTCACCAGCAGACTGTCAGTAGCGGTCTTGCCATCACCGGCTTCAGGGCAGACGCTTATGCCATCCTTGTGACTATGAAAAAGTATCTTGAAACTCGGCAGGCCCTTCCCAAACTGTCCTGAAACATCTACGGTTGGAACTCTCAAATCCACAAGATTGCAAACTGGTTTGAATTAGGGGTTGCGCTCCACCGCGCCTTTCATCGCTTTTAGTCCTGCGGGTCGAGCCATCGGCGTGGCAGCGCCTCACGGAGCGGTTCCCGTGGCCCGGCGCCTGGTGAGAATCCGCCCCCGGCTAAGTTCGTAGAGGGGAGCAGAGATCCCCACCTCACTATACGGCTGGTCTTCGAGGCTACAAGGTGGCCCTGTCCCACCGGGGAAGAAACCAGGCCATCCCTCTTTCCTAAAGAAGCCTCAAATCTCCCCAAATGTCCTTCCTTTGTGGCTCTGACGGCCCTAACCTCGCCGGTCCCCAAGCCGCCTGCATTTGAACCGAGTTTCCACAGCGGGATCTGCTGAGCGGCTGCACCAGCGAAGGCCAAGTGCGCGCACTCAGCGCTAGAGAAGAGGAGACACCTATTGGCAAGAAGGCGCGCTCGAAATCAGGGCCGCTCTGGGGAAACACCAGGGGGACACCGCTTCCCAATCTTTGCAGCGCGCCCGCTGCGCGTCCGGCTGCCCGCGCCCCTCCCCGCGAGCGGACACTAGACCGGCCTGCTCGCCCCTCCCCGGGCCGGGACCCAGCAGGGCGCGGGAGGGCCGGGCGCGGACCGGATGGGCGCGGGGCTCAGGGTGCGGGGCCGCCCCCACGCCTCGGGGGCCGCGGTGGGGGACTGCCACTGCGCCCGCTTACCTTCCTCTGCCGACTTCATGGTGCCGCCGGCGGGCGCCGAGGGCCCCAAAGTTTCCCCGCTCCCGCAGACTGCAACCGGAGGGCCGAGTGGAAACTTGGAAGGGACTGGAAAACTGGTACTTGGCATCCACGCGGCGGCGGCGGCGAGCAGGAGGAGGAGCGGGAGAAGTGGGCGCCTCGCGCTGCCGCCCGGGGTCGGGTCTCCCGCGAAAGGCCTCCTCTCCCCCGGCCGACGCGCTCCGGCCGGGGCTCAGCTCAGCCCGCGCGCCCCGGAGAAGTGTGGTGTGGGGGGGGGGGGTGCGCGCGTGGCAGAGTCGGGTTGCGGCCCCGGGAGCCCCGCAAGGTGGCGGTGGCCGGGGCTCGGAGGTGTGCACCCGCGCCCGGCCGCCCTCCCCGGCGCGGTGACTGTGCCGGCGAGTTCGGAGTCTCTGAGTCTCGCTCTGACGCAGGGCCGCGCTCTGCCTCCTGCCTTTTTAAAGCTGGAAAATACCTCCCCCGCCTCCCCGCCGGCCCGGCCGCTCCCGCGCCCCCTCCCTGCCGTGACATCACGCCCCCGCCCGCCCGAGCCGGCGCTGGGCCCGGGGGACCAGCCGCCGAGCGGCCGCCCCTCCCCGCGCCTGGCCGCCGCTCGCCCGTCCCGCGGGGCGCATGGGGGGTGGACAGGGGCGCACGCGAAGAGGCTGGGGCGCACCCGGCGCGCGGCCCGGCCTGGCCCGGACGCCTGGGTCCACGCGGGTGTCCTGAGAGAACCGCACTGCGCTTTAATGAGGGGGGCGGGGCGGGGAGGGGGGCCGACGGGGGTGCCTAGAGAGCCCTGCATGCTGAAGTCATTATGTAAAATCGCAGGCTTCCCCCGCTGTGGAAATTTGGAAAAGCGCTTCCACTGGCAGGCCCGAGAAAGGAAATTCCCATCCCGCTAAATTACTAACAGATTGTACGGCAGTCCCGGGACGTGGAGTCACTGTCATTTTTCTTCTGTAAATATCTGAGCGACCCAGATTGCCTGTTGCACGGCTGGCTGGCGCGGGGCGGGCGGGGGGGCCGGGGAGAACCACGAGCCCCTCCCCGGGCTTCCAGCCGTCGCCCCCGGCCGGCCCCGAGGGCCGGGGCGGTTTACGGGCGCGACTGGGGTTTCCAGCCGACGGGGGCTGGTCCGCTCGCCTCGTGGGGGAGGCCTCTCCAAGCGGCCGCTTCACTCCACTCTTTCCTTTTTCAAGCCCTGCTGCTTCTCGGTGCAGCTCGGCGGCCAAAACGGGACCATATTTTCGTGTTGGCCTTGGATGGAAGGGACGGAGTGTTGGGGAGGTTAAAATGTCTGGTGTATAAGAATCGTAAATCTATTGCACGACACCCTATGTGGGTTAAAATAAACCCAAAGCAGAAGACGTGTCTGCCGCAGGGACCAGGAGGCCTGCGGCTCGCTAGTGGGTGCCCCCAAAGGACTCCACGCCCGGCACCCGGGGAAAGGGGGGTGCCACGCTTGATCCAATGGGGGGGGGGTTGCCCTGCCCTCGGTGCGACATTAAACAACAGGAAGGCGCCCGGCGGGGGGGTGCCCACGTCACCACCGCGGTTGTCGGTTCATCCCAGTGGCGTCGGCCCGACTGGGCGCAGGTCTCCCCTGGGGGTCTAGTGGGGGTCAGGACAATCCTGGTGCCACTACTTGTGGGTCAGCGCCCGTTCTGGGAGCCGGCCCGCAAGGCGCCTCGAGCCCCAGGCAAAGGGCGGGGGGGACCCCGCGGGGACGCAGTGGCTGGGGCTGGGAGACCCCGCAAAGACGTTGGAGGCCCAAGAGGGGGAACCCCTCGAGCTTGCTGAGGGGGGAGGGTCGCAAGGACGCCGGACGGAGGGGGGCGGGGCGGGGGAAGGAAGGGGGAAGGGAAGCGAAGACTGAGGGGGCGGGGACTCGGGGGGGCGGGACGTGCGTCCGGAGCTGGCAGCCGCCAGGGGGCGCCCCCGCCACTCACCCTGCCCCTTCCCGCCCGCCTCCCTCTGCAAAGATGCGCCGGTGAGTCCCCGGCCCCGCGGCCTACGGGCTCGGGTTTTGCCTGGAGAGGTTGCCGGCGCGAGGGCCCGCCCCGGAGGGGAACGGGCCGGGAGGAGAGGCCGAGTCGTGGCGCGGAGCGAAGGGTGGTCTGGAGAGTTGTGTCAAAAGGAAGGTTGACTCTCGCCCCCTCCGCCCGCCCCCCTCAGGGGCGCGGGGCCGTTGTACGGCCCTGGAGTCCGCGGGACCCCTCGGGCCGGGAGTGCCCCTCGGCTGCGGAGGGCCGTTGGCCGCCGCTTCCTCCTCCTCTTCCTCCAATAAATAATTTTCACTCCATCCAGAAAAGCTCTTTTCCTGTCTGCTCTCAACGCGCCCCTCATTCCCCCGCCCGGGTGACGGTGTCCCGTCTGTTTCCCTCTGTTTAATGCCGTTGCCCGGACCACGGTGGCCGCGCGCCAGGGCGCAGGGAGTCCCGGAGGCGGCGGCGCAGCTCCGCGGCCAGCGCGCCCCCGTGTCCGCCTCGGGCCGGCCTTGCGGCCACCGCGGGGCCACCGGCCCCGTCCCCGCGCCCGCTGCCCCCTGGCGCCCCTTCCACCTCTCTGGGTCCTCCGGCCTCTCTCGAGGTGTGTTTATAGCTGCTACTAGGAGAGACGTTACACGGGTTTTATTTTAAGAATTGGTGATGACTAACGAAGTTAAAAGGAGCTTAGGACAGAAAACAAGACTATTTTTAGATTACTGTTGTTTCTGTGGATTATTGGGACAAATACACCCAAAGAGGCTTACCATTTTTGAAGTCCCTTTAGTGCCAAATCCTTTCTCCTGGTGCACACTTGGGTATTCATCCTCCCTGCTCAATATTTTCTAGAGACTTTGTAGTCGTTGTTGCTCCCAGTTTTGTGTTCAAGCACAAGTGCTATGGAGACGCCACCCTCAGCGCCCTTGGCATGGGGACTGGCTTGGGAGGACCTGGGAGGCACTGGTCTGGCTGGAGCTGCCCTGAAGGGACTGCTGTGTCCCCTGCCCTGGTAGCCCCACTGGGGACCCCTTGGTCCCACTTTCCAGCTTCTGCACCCCCAGCCTGGCAGGGCCTCCTGGGCAGGTGTGGCCGCTGTCCACCCTTTCTTCCTGTTCCCTGGTCACACACCCAGGTGCCATTCTTGCTCATGAAAATCACCTCAGACATCTGTGAGTTGAATGTAAATGCTTTTGTTCTCACCAGGTCCACATTCAAGCCCTGGCAGTGCCAATTTAAAGTTCTCCCGTTTGGAACCACTTTGAGCATGCGACTCTTCTAAAGGGCAGGTGCGCATTCCTCCTGCAGCACCTCTGAGCAGCCTGCAAGAGGCTCACAGACTAAACCAAGTGTTGGCAGACATGCTTGGCAACATGGGCATTGAGCCAAAGGGTAGAGATAGGCATTAAGGTAAAAATCAGAATTGCGTGCATGTTAAGTTGCCTTAGTTGTGTCCAACTCTGTGCAACCCTATGGCCCGCCACCTGCCAGGCTCCTCTGTCCATGGGGATTCTCCAAGCAAGAATACTGGAGAGGGTTGTTGTGCCCTCCTTTAGGGAATCTTCCTGACCCAGGAATCAAACCCGCATCTCCTTTGTCTACCTGCATTGACAGGCAGGTTCTTTACCAGTAGCACCACCTGGGAAGCCCAAAAATCAGAATTAGGAAGAGTTTGTTTACTTCTAAGTAAACTTAGCTGAGGTTCTTTTAAAAAGCCATTGATAGCAAACCTGCCAGTTGTGCCTGAAGTTGAAAAAGACGGGTCTGCACACCTGTGAGTTCCCTTTTCTGTTAGGAGTGTACTTAGAGGTCCGTACAGTTTCCAGTTTGGAGGTTCTGCTCTGAGATTTTCCCAGTGAAGTCGCTCTTTAATCCTCCCCTCGTCCCTGAGACAGTGCAGGGGCTTCTTCATCTCCGGACCACCCACTCCAGGCATCCTACCACCGGGTCTAAAACTGCAGTCCTCAGCCAGTCAGTGTCAGCACGGCCAGGGCTGGTCAGCACCCAGGCCGAAGACTCAGCACGGCGCCTTCCACCCTTTGCCTTCCACATGGGAGCAGCCGCCCTGAGTCTAAGCAGCGGATCCTCTGGGACAGCAGAGAACATTCTCTCTGGACAGCGTCTCGCATGACTCTGTGTGTTCTGCCGCGCTTGGGTGGCACGTCCTAAGGACGTCCGGTGGACCTCGCTGGCTTACCACCCTGGGCTCAGGTCTTCTGCTTTGTGGTTGGTCTTCTGCCTGGTTGTCACACCCATGATTGAAGATGGGGTCCTTCCTGATACCTCCGACTATTGCTGCAGCATTGCCTCTCCCTTCCTCCCATCAGCTTCTGTGGCATATATTCTGGGCCTCTGTGGTTAGATGCACATATATTTATAATTTTTACGTCTTCCTGATGGATGGGCCCTGTAATCGTTATGAAACATCCCTCTTTGTTTAATGACATTTTTTGTGTGTTAAAATCTATTTTATCTGGCATTCATACAGCCGTTCCAGCTTCCCGAACTTGTTCTTTGCTTAATATATGTTTTTCCACGTTAGTCCACTTGTGAGTCTAAAGTGCACCTACTGTAGCCGGGTTCAGGTTGGATCACGTTTTCTTTTAATCAGCTTGATAGATCCATCCACATTTAATGTTAGTATTGATATTGTTGGATTTATATCTGCCATTTCATTTTTCTTGTTTTCTATTTTCCTCCCGTTGGTTTGTTCCTGTTCCTCCTTTACTGCTTTCTTTATGTTAAGTGAATGTTTTCTAAAGTAGCAAAATGAATTCTTTAGTGCTTTTTACCCCTTTTAAAGTTATTTCTTTAACGGTTGTTCTAGGATTTACTACACACATATTAACATCACAATCAGCTTCAAATACTTAGTAGCTTAATTTCAGTGACATACATAACCATTAATCCTATGTGGGTTCATTCCTTTCTCCTCTTTTTATGGTAGTATGTTAACAAATGGTGATGCTGCAGACCCAGCGGGGCTCTAGTGTTCCTTTACCACCTGCAGGCGTTCCCTTCCTCCCAGCTATTTCACCCACTTCCTTGGTTCTGGTGAAAATATTACACGTGTCTTATATTTCCACTAATTATAGGCCTGACATTACATTATATCTGTATTATTTTATACAATTGCTTTTTAAACCAGTTATTGGAACAAAGGAGGAAAATATACATTTGTACTGCTTCATAAAATGACGTGCTTACCTTTAACAGCACTGTTTATTCATGCGGCTTCAGTGTCTGTCTGGGGTCACGCACTTTCCGCCTGAAGAACTTCCTTTATTTCTTGTAAGGTGGGTCTGCCAGCAGCAAGTTCTCAGTGTTTATCTGGGAAAGTCTTCATTTCACCCTCACTTTTGAAAGGTAGTTTTGCTGAGTATCGGATTCTTGGTTTGCAGTGTTTTCCTCTGAGTACTCCCGTGTGTTGCCCACTGTCTTCCAGCCTGGGAAGTCTCCCCTGGGGCAGTTGAAGTGACCTTGGGATATTCGCCTTGTCTGCGACCCTCAGTGCTCTCACGGTGATGCAGGGTGAGGTCGTCTCCATTGAAGGGGAGGCCAGAGGCGGATTCCTGGGCCCACCCGAGACCCCGCCTGTGGGCTCCTCACCTGGGAGGGGCTGTCTCCCCTCTGCCGCTCCGCGTCTGCTTTGCTGTGGACTCAGCCGCAGCTGGGACCCCAGGCCACACCAGAACCCTAGCTGGCCCTGGGGTCTGTCCTGCTCTGCAAGGCCCACGAGGGCCTGGCGGCCTCCGAGGCGGACACAGGTGGGGCGGGGATGCCCCACAGAGCAGAGTCCTCACGGTTCCCCTCCGTCCTCTTGAGGGATCCCGCGTGGGCTCCTGCTGCCCTGGGCCCCTCCCGGCAGCCTCAGGCCAGGCCTGTGTTTCTGAGAGTTGAGGGCGTGCGGAGCCAGTGGGCACTCCACACTCACCGTGTCTGGGCATCTGCTCTGGCCACCAACCTGGCTGGAGGGAACTAGGGTCCTCCTCTGCTTTCTGGCGAGCTTCAGGGTTTGCACCTGTGAGCTCACTATGCTTTCCTTTTGCAGAATGGTAACAGTAACAGTTTTCTGATGGCAACCCTTAAATTCAGCAGCAGCCCAAGGCGAGTTTTCCATCCCAGTCTCCTGCCGAGGTTGGCTGGGTTGGGGGTGCTCTGGGTCCCTTTATTGTTCTAATTGGCTTTGGTTTTGCACACAGTGTTTTCAGGGAGGGTGGGCACAGGACCCCGGGCACAGGCCAGCGCCCCCTCCCCGGCCCAGGGCTCTGGCCCAGCGTGGGAAGAGATGGAATCCGCCCATGGCTTGGGTCTGCCGAGTTTCCCAAACTATTTTTAAAGTGTTTTTGGTTCAATAAAGCTCTAAACAAGTTTTGCCAGGCACTTTTTCCATTAATTTTTAAACCGGAGTGAATTTCAAGGGAAATTTAATCCATGTGCTTCTGATTCATTTACACTTAACTCATGGAGATGCCGCGTTGAACTGTTTGATGTTGAAGCAGAAGGCGGCTTTTTACAAGCCCGCTTGGCCTTTTTTCCTTCTTGGAAACAGGAAGTGGCATCTTGCCAAAGTGTAAATGGACGGGAACCCTCAGGGAAGATGCTGTTTCAAGCCCACACCCTAGAGCCTGGGGCTGTGGCGGGGCTGGGCCTGTGGGGTCCCAGGAGCTGGCAGCGGGGGCTCCAGGCAGGGGCCATGGGCCCAATGCCCCCGCACACCCCCAGGCTCCCCTGCGTTTGGGCCTCTGGTGACCAGACAGCAAGAGACCCTATGCTGTACTTGTCTGCTTACAACTGGTGTGGACACATGCAACACAGTTCACTGTCAACATACAACACAGTTCACTGTCAACACACAACACAGTTCACTAACAATACATGCAACTGTCAACACACAACACAGTTCACTGTCAACACACGCAACATAAGTTCACTGTCAACACACGCAACACAGTTCACTGTCAACACACACAACACCGTTCACTGTCAACACACGCAACACAGTTCACTGTCAACACATGCAACACAGTTCACTGGCAACATACAACACAGTTCACTGTCAACACACGCAACATAAGTTCACTGTCAACACACGCAACACAGTTCACTGTCAACACATGCAACACAGTTCACTATCAACACACGCCACACAGTTCACTGTCAACACACGCCACACAGTTCACTGTCAACACACACAACACTGTTCGCTGTCAACACACGCAACACAGTTCACTGTCAACACACGCAACATAAGTTCACTGTCAACACACGTAACACAGTTCACTGTCAACACACACAACACCGTTCACTGTCAACACACAACACAGTTCACTGTCAACACACGCAACACAGTTCACTGTCAACACATGCAACACAGTTCACTGGCAACATACAACACAGTTCACTGTCAACACACGCAACATAAGTTCACTGTCAACACACGCAACACAGTTCACTGTCAACACACGCAACACAGTTCACTGTCAACACATGCAACACAGTTCACTGTCAACACACGCCACACAGTTCACTGTCAACACACACAACACTGTTTGCTGTCAACACACGCAACACAGTTCACTGTCAACACACGCAACACAGTTCATTGTCAACACACGCAACACAGTTCACTGTCAACACACGCAACATAAGTTCGCTGTCAACACACGCCACACAGTTCACTGTCAACACACGCCACACAGTTCACTATCAACACACGCCACACAGTTCAGTCAACACACGCCACACAGTTCACTGTCAACACATACAACACAGTTCACTATGGAAACAATAAGTGTGCGCTTCACTGGCATCAAGTACGTGCACAGTCGCCATTGTCTGCAGAGTCCTCTCATCTTCTCAAGCCAGCACGCGGCCCCTGAGGACTACCAGCCCCACCCCTGCCCACCGCCCCTGTCTTCGAACCTGCATGCTAAGTAAGCCCAGGCCCCTGTGTAGGTGGAATCACTCAGTATTTGTCCTTTTAGAATGGCTGTCTCACTCAGCAACACGTCCTTGAGGTTCATCCGGTTGTTCCCGGCCAGCGCTCCTCCCTGTTGAGGCTGACTCAGAACCTGTCGTGGGCAGGGACCTGCTTCCCTCCCTGCTTGTCCGTGGAAGGGCATTTGCGTTGAGTGCACCTTCCCACCATCAGGAAGGCACTGGCCTGAGCACGGGTGCAGATGCCCCTAGAGACCCTCCCTCTGGCCTCTGGGTGACTGGCCCTTCAGGGGGTCTCTGGCCCACGTGCTCCAAGTCAGGCTCCTCCAGGGACCCACAGCCCATGCTCGCTCTGTCGATGGCACTGCAGTGGGTGCCCTGGGCAGGTGCTACCAATGTCCCAAAGGATGTGAGACCTTCCGGCTGGTGGCCTCACACACCTCGGGTCTCTTATCCCTGCTGGCAATGGCTCTGTAACCGGGCCCGCCCCTCATCACTGCTGTTTAACGATGCATGGACCCGCATCCTCACGTGGTCCTCATGCAGTGTCCTCCGGATCTGGCCATATGGGGCCCCGAGCTGTGGGTAGTCCCTCCTGGGCAGTGTGACAGGGGGCTCTGGACGTCCCGGGTCCCAGGGCAGCAGCGGGAGGTCTGTAGCTGAGTGGCTCACCCTCCAGCCTGGCGGCTGTGGTTACCGAAATGCCTTTAGGTCCTCCTCAAACTTCCCAGCTGGGCACCCACCGAGCGTCCACCTTCCTGTTTCCTCCTGAGGACTCAGGGGGCCCCCAACCGAGGGCAGCATGTCCTGCTGAATGTTAGGGTCGCGTGGTGGGGTGTCAGGGTCTGCGTTGCTGACCACACTGGGCGTCCTTCCCCCGTAGAGGCCGTTCAGCCTCCGAGCACCTCGTCCAGATCCAACCAGCCTGAGCCCGGCCCCATGGTCCTGGTGCCCCCCCACGCCCTCCCCCACCTGTCTGCCATCTGCCCCTCGTGCGGGCATTCAGATGGGAGGGGGTGGCGGCAGTCAGGATGTCCCAGCAATTGTGGGGGCGGAGCCCGCGGCCTGGCATGTGTGCCCGTGGGGGGGTGCCTGGTGGCGGGCAGGAGGGTCCCAGCAACCAGGCCTTGCTAGTGGAGGTGGCCACCCGCAGGGTTGTGGGGGCAGCCCCTCATGTCCTGGGAGGTCCCAGTGACAGGCTACTCTCCCAGAAGTGGTTGGTGGTGGCAGAGGGTGCAGGGCCAGATGGGGACCCCACAACCCTGCACCCGGCTCGGGCTCCAGGGGTGTGGGGACCTCAGGGCTCGCTGAGAACAGCTGAGGGGAGCAGCGGGAGGCTCCCTCCCCAGAGCCCCTGACGCCCCCCAGGACCTTGGCATTGGCACTGTGACCCCTGAACCGAGCCAGGCCCATCCAGTCCACTGGGCGTGGGCACCTCGCGCCCTGGCACCCCCAAAATGAGGCCAGAGCTTCCTCCAGGACTGGCCTGGCCCTGCGCTCGGGGGGCAAGTTGTGTCAGGGGCGAGTCCATCTGCTCTGTGACTTCGGACACAGGGAGCTGCCCGGCTGGAGCGGGGGCCTCACGGGGCTCTGGGGCCAGGAGGCTGTGTCCCAGTCGGTGAGATGTCACCCCAGTGAGGGGAGTGGGCCTGGGGCTGCAGCTGCCTTCCGCTCCTGTTTGGGGAAAGCAGTAACAAGCACAGTACCCCTTCTCCCTGGGTGAGACCCCAAAGGCGTCATCATGACTGCAGCCTCAAGACACTCAGAAGAACCATTCTCCTCGGTGGCGACAGTCAGGGCTGCTTGGGATGAGGACGGCAGGGCCAAGTGGACGCCTGTGTGGCCAGCACCCCCTGCAGTTGTGCCCAGAAGCCCTTGACCGTCTAAAGTGTGAGGCTCCCCGCCGCTGCTCAGGAGTCTGGCTTCTCTCAGAGCCGGGTCCCCGGGGGTGGGTGACCGGGCCAGGTGCCAGGCAAGGGACGTGAGGACGCAGCCCAGACCCGACACCGGCCTCATCATAGAATCAGAGCCGCGTGGGCTCGGCCGGCCAGTCTCTGCACCTCCAGGTCGGAAAGAGCCTGGGAGCCCTGAAGCGATGTTAGGTCACCTTGAACAAACAGCATCCAGGCTTCAGCGACCCCTGCGTAGCGCCCGAGACCACGGGACGTGGGCTCAGGCCTGACAAGGCTGTCACGGATGGCCCCACCCCGCCCCCGGTGATGACATGGACGCAGACACGTGGGGGCCGTGGGGAGACAGCGGGGTCCAGTGGGGCCAGCCCAGAACCGGGGTGGACTCTGTCCCTGCGTTGGTGGGCACGCCTCTGGGCCCAGCTCCGCAGGCCGCATCTTGGGCTGCGTGGGTCAGGGCCCCGGGCTCTCGCGGGCCTGCCCGGGAGGACCCCTCTGGCTCTGCCGGCCGTGAGCGCGGGCTGGGTGACCAGGGCAGGGGCTCCGCTGCCCAGGGACCCAAGGCCCTGCCCCCAGCCCCCTCCTTTGCTATCCCTCGCTGTCCGTCCTTGGCTCTCCCTTCAGCCCTGACCGGCCGCCCGTCCAATGGGTGGACGCAGAGCTCTGAGGGGCCTGAACAGGGTCCAGATGGACAACCAATGTGGGCCCAGACTCTCCTTAGGAGCTCTGACCTCCTCAGAAGAACCACTGCGGCTCGTGGCCCCCAGCAGAGCATCCTGTGACCCGGGCTGGCGAGTGCCCGCCTGACCCCATCACCCTGGCTCAGACCCCGCCAGGGCCACGGCAGCCGCTCGCCCAGTTAGCAGAGGGGATGGAGGGGTTGGGCAGGGACTCGGGGGCCCCTCCCCGCGCTGGCCTCCCTGAGCCTGGTGGGCCCCCAACCCGGAAGATAGCGGGGCTGGGCTGTGGAAGGGGCTGGGGCCAGCCTTTCCCTGCAGCAGCCATGGAGCCCAGGCCTGGGAACTGGCTTGAAGAGCAGGGAGGGTCTCTGGCTTTACAATCACGTGGCTGACTCGGAAAATTCTGCTTTTAGGAAAAGGGTACAAGATCTCGGTCCTCCTGGGCCCCAGGGTTCTGCCCACCCAGAGTCTCCTGGCCACCAGGAGGGTGGCGGGCCGCGGGGCTGCGGGTGGGGTCATCCCGGGAGAACCAGGAGGTGTTGCCTGCACTTTACCATGAAGGGGGCCCTGGGCCCCGTCCAGAATTGATGCCGCGTGGACAATGAGGCCCGTGCATGAAGGCGGCAAACGCGCAGAGAATCCAGCCCAGACCGCTGACTGACCCCAAGAGCCTGAAGTTGGGCCAACAGCCATGGCTGCATTCCTTAGCTTCTAGCGCCACCTGCTGGAGCCCCCCGGAATTACACCTGCTCTGCGCGGAGCAGAATTAAAATTACACCTGCTCTCTCACCCCGAGCCCAGCCAAGCACGGCCCGCTGAGGGGGCTCTGGGATCACAGGGAGCGACCACCGCACCGCCTCCTAAGGACGCAAACCAGTGCCACCTGCCTGTCGTGTGGGGCCCTTCCCAGCAGCTTGGGACAAGCCCCCCGCCCGGGATGGGGACACCAGGAGCCGTCTGGACTGGGGGTCAGGCCAGGATTTAGCGGGAAGTCGGGAAGCACAGTGCTTGTGTGGATGGCCAGCAAAAAGGGCTTTCAGGAGAGCCTGCAGAGTGCACCCGCCCAGCAGCAGCGGGGGCAGCCTCCCCGGGACCCCAGGGTCTGCCTGTTTGGGGGCCACAGGACTGTTTGCCGAGTGAGGAGCTGGGTGTGTGAGGGGCTTCTGATTGACGGCCTTTCCTGTGGGGACCCGGAGTGAGCAGCCGGGGGTCACTCATCCTGCCTGGGATCCAGCCCTGGGCAGCAGTCACACCAAGGGTCCCAGCACATGCCACCAAGAAGTGCCCTTTGAACGAAAGAACTTGGAGGGCAGCCTGGAGGAGGAAGCGCTCTCCCACGGAAACATCGGCGAGGGGTCCACAGACCGCCCGAGCACCAGGAGCCAAAAGCAGACATGGACACGGGTGAAAGTGCGCTACAAACATCAGAAGGACGGGAACAGATGAACTAACAGCAGAGCCTCGGGACACGCATGTAGCTGCCACGGGCATGAAGAGGCTGTGCGGGCGCCCAGGACCAGGGTGTGCCTTCGGGAGGTGCAGGGAGGGTGTGGCAGACACAGCCTGGACAGAACGAAGGCTTTATTCTGGTGAAGAGGGGTGACTCTCTGTATGACATCAAAGAGCCTGAATGTTAGTTGGGAAGTTGTAGGACAGTAGATAAACTTTTGTTTCAGTTCCCAGAACAGCAGAGAATGATGGTGCTTTACAGTAACAGGGCTCATATTCATGGAAACTCAAGCTGCTGCTACATGGAAATTAAACTTTGAGAAACAACAGAAAGGGGACGAAAGGAAATCCAGCCCCATGAGGACAAGGGGGGAAGTCCATGGTGCCTAGGCAGGACGTCCACGGCGCCTGGCTAGGCCTCCTGGGCCCTTCTGGCCTCACACGCTCTCAGCAGCTGCGGCACTCTGGACATTACGGCCACCAGCCGAAGGTGCGGGGAGGGGCTAGGAGGAGAGCTTGGAGTAGCTGGGCGGGGACAACTTCCGCTTCAAGTACTTCAGGACATAGAGAGGGAGGCAGCTGACCACCGTGATGACTGACACTTTCCACACGAAGGTCACAGTCGTGATAAAGGCAACGTCTGTGGGAGAGAAAGCCCAAACAGGTCTCAGGGTGCTGGGGTTGTGGCCCCCCTCCGCCTGTACCCAGGCTACCACAGAGGCGGGCCTGGCAGAACCTTGGGGTCCCTGTGAAGGCATCGTTCTGCCTGCACCCGGTGAGGGGTTCCCAACAGGAGGCACGAACCCCGTGTTCAGGGGCAGACGCACGCAATGCAGCCTGTGGTGGGTCGGACCCTCCGGGCCTGTATGGAATCAGCAGTCCGTCCCTGCGAGCCTGCCCCCATGGGTCCTGCTGTCCCAGGGGACGTGCCAGGCTGACCTCCGGCCTGGCGGAAGGCTGTCGTAATGCTGCCGGGGAGAGCCCCGTGGGAACCTGGCCGGGCGGTAGCCTTCAGGACGCGCCAACCCTGCAGGCTGTGGGCAAAGCTGCCTGTAGAACCACGGACAGCGTGTGGCCCGGGAAGCAGAGGCCCGGTCTGCGCAGGGCTCACAGGGCCTGGGCAGTGTGGGCACGTCGTGAAAACCCGGCTCAAGCACGACAAACTGGAGGCCCGGTGCTGTGTGCGAGACGGCCTGGACGCTTGTCGGGGGCGCGTGACGCCAGCCCGTCCCCTCTGACGAGTGCAGGACCTGGGCCCTGGGCCCAGGAGGCGCCTCTGCAAGTGGATCAGGCCAGACTGTCTCCAGGGACGGGCCCGAGGCAAACATCTCCCAGACGGGGGACGGGGCTCTCCTCAGTCAGGCATCTCCAGCAACGGCGTTTCGGCTACCTGTCTACACTCAAAAGAAGTGACTTAGCTTCGCCCACTTGAGAAAGCGCTGTAAGACCCAGCCCACACCTGTTCTCTGGGAACCACGGCTCCCCCTGGGGCTCGGTCCCAGATTCAGTTTCTGCGCTGGGCGTCGCCCCCCGTGCTCTGCGCCCCGGGTCCTGTCCTCTGTCCTCCATGCCCACGTCCTGTCCTCTGTCTGCGCCCCGCTTCCTGCCCTCCGTCCTCCATGCCCCACATCCTGTCCTCTGTCCTCTGTGCCCCGTGTCCTGTCTGCGCCCCGCGTCCTGTCCTGTCTTCTGCACCCCACGTCCTGTCCTCTGTCCTCTGTGCCCCGTGTTCTGTCCTCTGTGCCCCGTGTTGTGTCCTCTGTGCCCCGCATCCTGTCCTCTGCACCCCATGTTCTGTTCTTCATGCACACATTTGGGGGAGGGGGTGGGTGTGTGGGCCCCGCCCTGAGAGCCTTAGCACTTCCAGCAGGAAGAGGACCAAGGAGACCGCGCCCGTGGGGAGCCCGGCCCAGCTCTGGGCATCACTACACGGAGCTCCATCTTCCCGCAAACTGAGCTGTGTGCTGTGAAGCTGTCTGCAATCAGTATCGAAGATCACGCAGCACAAGCAACAAGAAAAACATGTAAAAACCAGGAAGAGACAGTTATTCAGAAAACAATTCCATGGTAACTTACCAAAATATTCATTGAGAAAAGCGAGCGAGGCCACGTAGCAGCCAAGGCTGAGCAGCTCGGCCACGACCATGAGCCAGTGCCATGTCCTGACAGTCAGCGCCACCATCAGCAGCTCGGTGAGCACCAGCGCCGTGAAGGAGATGGCCACCACGTGCACGAACTCGGACTCAAAGAGCACCAGCGCCCCGAACATGAGGATGCCACCTGGGAGAGAGCACAGTCTTCTGCTGTGGGCTGGCGGCTGCGTCACCGTGAGGCTGCTGGTAACAGACATGACAGACCGCGCCGACAGACACGGGCCTGCACAGCCTGGGGGGGGGGGGTGCGGGCAAGTGGCGCCGCATGGACACTCTGGACGTGCAGCGGCTGCACAATGTGGGGAGCCCTGCCTCCCCAGCCAGTGATCACACCCTGGTGTCCCCTACGGGGTCCAGCCATGGCCCACACTCTCCATGGGCACCTGTTTCTCTGGGATGCCACGAGGGTTCCTTCCAACTACAGGATCCCCATCTCGTCAGCTCCTGCCACCACACCAAGAAAGCAAGCCACTGTGTGGGATAGATGCTGTCATAAGGGCTGATTACATTTTTCAGAATTGTCATTTCTTTAAAACCAGGTTGGTCTTTAGTTCACCTGGACCAGTAAGAAATGCCAGCCCACGCTGTGCTGGGAAGGGGCCTGCTGGGCCAGCTACTGGAGATCAATTCGTGAGATAAACAGAAGGTGATCTTCAACTGCAGACAAAATGTGGAGCCTGGGGAATTTAACCAGCAGGCAGAACACCACTGCTAACAGAAGGCAGGGCAGCTTCAGCGCAGGAGAGGGGTCCGCTTTACCTTGGTAAATGCTGACCAGAACCCAGACGAGGAAGGTCTTGAAGGACAAGGATCGCCCCTGGAGAGACAGGGGAGCAGCTCTATCAATGGAGCAGCACACATGTCTCCCAGCGGCCTCGTGCGGGTACCTGTGAAGACGCCGGGCCCCCGGCCCACCCAGGTACGAACCTGGCAGCTCCAGGGGACGGGAGCTGGCCCCGCCCTCCTCACAAGCACAGTTTTATGCGGAGCATTGCAGCTGCCCCCCTCCCTGGGTCTAGCGGGCCGCACCTTGGTGAGGTCCTTGTACAGCTCCGGGTAGAGCATGGCCATCTCCGGTTTCACGTCCTGGTCCAACACCAGTGAGAACACGGGGAACATGGTATAGACGGTTGCATACCTGAAGGAGAGCAGGGAGGTGACCCCAAGAGCACACCCCTTTCACCAGAGGCCAGTCAAACCCTAAACAAAACAAAAACAAGTTGGCAACAGAGCAGAACCTGTCCTAAAGCACTGGAGCGAGGCCTACAAGCCACAGTGCTCACAGGCAGCGGAATCCAAACCTTCGGTTTTAATTAAAGCTTTTTAATTAAAACTTTGAGACTGCTGCAGACGTCAGTAGAGTTATCACAGAAAACCCAGACAGACCCTGAGGAGCCATTAGCTAGCTTCCCCCAGTGGCAGCATCTCCAGAACTGCAGCCAGTCTCAGCCTGGGAGGCCACCGGGGGCCCTGGAGCCCGCCTGTCTCCTGCTGCCCCGCCGACCCCCTGGCTGGCGACTGTTCTCCATGTTACAACCACTGTCCCCGACAGCGACAGGCTGGCGTCACACAGTGGGCACCGGGGGTCTGGCCTCTCGATCAGCTGGTCCCCGGCTCTGGGCAGGGCAGTTCCACAACCCCTTCTCTGCAGTGCGCCTATGTCAGCCCATTCCTGGTTATTACTAATACAAATAAAGCGGCTACAGACTGCACAGTGTTTTTTTCCTTTGTAAAAATAAGTGTCACTTATTTCAGACGGGGGTGTCAGCTGGGTCCGGAGGTCCAGGGGTGCAGGCAGTTGTGTACTTCGTTTTAGAAGTCACTGAGCTCACCACAGTGCCCAACGCCATGCCACTAAACGCCCCCTGTGAGGAACCGGGCCTCTGATTCCTCACCAGTGTGTGCTTCAGCCAGAGGGGCGGCAGACCTCCAACAGGTGGCGGGAGGTGGGGCGCACGGCAGTTGAAATACGTGCTTCCGAAGTGTCACCACTTCCCAGGGGTGACAACACCGACCCCCTCGCCATGGGCTGCTCTGCTGTCTCCCGACCCGCAGCGTCCCCACCATGCCCTCCACGCCTCTGTCTGCTGTCCAGTTGGCTCCAGGCTCCACTTACAGGGTCAGCCTCTGATTCCTGCGTCAGGCTTGACGGGCACAGGCTCTCTGCTGTCCTCAAAACTTCTAAAGACCGTTGCTCGTCTCCTTAGCACTTGGGCCCAGAGGCCGAGGCGCCCAGGCTGAGCCTGGCCCACACCCTGCAGGCCGACAAGCCCAGCCCAGGCTCCGTGCCCCTGGCAACCCTCACATCCGGGCCTGAGAAGGCTCTGTTTTTCTAAAGTGTGTCCATGAAAACCCTTGTTCTTATGTCAGAAGCTTCTCTAGCTTTTTGACCAAATTAAGGAAAAGATCATCACCACCACTATGACCAACTGACTCTGCTGAGGGTGGTCTCCGGTGGGCAGTTGGTTGGCTGACCTCCTTCAGGGCCACAGCCCCCTCCTGCCAGCTTGCCCCGCCCCAAGTCCCAAGCCCCCTCCGGCACCCTGGCCAGGCCACCCGCATGGACCTCGGGTCCGCCCCTCGCAGCCCAAGCCTTCGTCCCTGGGCTGCAGGGACACGACTCAGTGAATCTTCTGAGTCAGCTGCTGGGCGTCACCGCTTTGCAGGACGGTGCTAAATAGAGGAAGGGTCTTCCTGTAGTGACAGGCACACAGGGAGATGAGGGCCGTCGGGCCAAAGGTTTACTCTGTTTCTGGGCTGCTTCCCCACTGTGCGCTCCAGCAGGGAGCTGCAGAGGCCCTGGAGCCCCTTTCTTGCCAACACCTAGTGAGGCCTGTGTTCTTAACTCAGCTGTGCTCCCCGGGGAGGCTTTCTAGTGGCTGTCCCATGATGTCAGGCCTTTCCCAGTGCTGTCTGCCCCTGTTGTCTTTGCCGCTAACTTCACGTCCTGCCAGAAAGAACCGTGTCTGGCCTGGAGGGTGTGGGCCCCAAGAAGGGGCTGCCCTGCTCCGACACAGTGTAGCTTCCCCAGGAAACCAGTTTCTAAGGAGAACAGGTGACAGTGGGATCGCCAGGGGACAGACGGAGAGGGGCCGCCTCCCACGCTCACGTGTGTGATTGTCCTACGCTGACCATGCGGGAACCGCTCTGGCTACAGCCCCCCAGGTTCCCGGGGACCTTCTTCCCGATGTATGGCCGCTGCGTGTGCTGGACGGTCTACTTACCCGACCATGAGGAAGCCCTGGTACAGAGGGACCGACGCGAAGTAGAAGACGGAGGAGAACACGGCCTGGAGGGAAAGAGCAGTGACGCAGTCCCTGTTCGCATGAGGCACCAGAGGAGCCACGGCCCACCGCCCTCCAGGGGGGCTGGGGCGGGGGGCGGGGAGGGGTGCTGGGAGTGGGCAGGGCCGGGGGCGAGGATTGGGTGGGGTTGGAGGCAGGGATAGGGGTAGGGTTAAGGGCGGGGATTGGGTGGGGTTTGAGGCGGGGATTGGGATGAGGCTGGGGGCAGGGCAGGGCCAGGCGCACCTGCATTGTGGAGATGATGAGGCCCCGGTGCATGACGAACTGGCCGAGCGCCGCAGAGCGCTTGTAGCTGCTGCGGCCGTGCACCATGAGCAGGCGGCCGACGTGCTTGAACCGTGTGATGGAGAAGTCGGCTGCCAGCGAGGCCTGCCGCCCCTCCTGCAAGGGCGGGCGGGGTGCTCAGGACCAGCTGAACCCACCGGGCAGCGACACGCTGCTGGGGACAGGCCTGCGGGGCGCGTCCGACCCACAGCTCCTGGGAGCGCAGAGCGGGCGGCACTGTGCGGGGCCCCTGCTCACGGGGAGCCCACTCTGGGCTGAGGAGCGGCTGCTGCCCCCAGGACCTCGGGAGGGCCCAGCTCCAGCACTGTGGGTGCTCCAGGATCTTAAGCAGGGACCTCGGGCGTCTGCAAGCCAGTCCTCGCAACCTGTCGCCTCAGCTGGAGCCGCCCCACCCACCCCACCACAAGCAGCGGCAGGTTCAGCTGTACCAGACACCCGACTGTGGGCCCAGGAAGCAAAGGGGCTGGGATCCTGTGCGTGTTCCATCTCTCTGGGTGTTTTCACATGAGCTCAGAGGACAGACTGGCCTGGGCACTGAGTCGTGGCAGGTCGTGACTGTCCCCACCTGACCTTCAGGGAACTGCTCCCGCAGGGCGGTGGGCCCCGCCTTGCCCCCCTCCCCCCCCATGTGCTGGAGCCCCCGGGAGCAGGTGCAGAGGGGGGTGGGGGGGGTGGGGACAAGGCTTGCCGCACCTTCCCCTCGATGCCAATCCCGCAGTCTGCTGCCTGGATCATGCTCACATCGTTCCCTCCATCACCTGAGGCAGGAAACAGGTTGTGAGGGGGGGGGCCCGCCTCCCTCACTGACAGCAAACAGGGGTCTGCGCCCCAGGTATCACACCGATGGAGTCCAGCCGGCAGGGAGACAAGGTGCCCACCCCCATGTGGGGACGCTCACCAATGGCGCAGGTGCGCCGGCCTGTGTGTTGCTGCAGGAGCTTGACGATGTGGGCCTTCTGGGTGGGCGAGCAGCGGCAGCAGACCACGGCTGGGCACTGGCAGGCCAGCTCCACAAACTCGTGCTCGTAGTACTTCAGGCAGACCTGGGGGAGGGGCGGGCCCGGGTTCACAGCCAGGGACAGACAGCAGACGCACAGCTGGAAGGCCAGGACTCCAGGGCGGCCTCCGACCAGCCCGCCTCCTTACCCGGCTGAAAAGATCTTAGTTTCTGGTCACATGGAACACTTTGATCCCTATCTCCCCATCTTGGCTGGGAAAATAAAGATCCCCCAAAGCTGCCTGAAGGCTGCGGGGCCCCACAGCTGAGCTGCACACTCCGAGTCACAGCAGTGGCTCTGCCGTCCAGGCCCCATGTTCCCAGGCAGTTCTGAGGGGCCGCTGAGCAGACTCGGGAGATGCAGAGCCCAGCAGCGTGGGCGGCAGGCTGTGACCACAGCCACCAGCCCCTCATGGGTCCATGGGGAGAGCTGGAAACATGGCGCCATCCGCAGGCACTCGGCTACAGAGGGCGTGGCCATCTCTGCTGCTCCCCCGGGGAAGTGTGAGTGCTGCCCCCACCCTGGCCAGCTGGCCTCAGCGTCCCACTGACAAGGGCTGGGTCACAAGAGGACCCACCACTTCGCCCAGACTCCTAGAAACATCTGCGAGAACCGTGGGCAAGCTGCAGAGGGTGTGGGTGCCTGGCACCCCCTTGTTTGGGTAACTATGGCCGCCAGGCCCACGAGCAGAGTGAGGGGGAGGGGACTGGACATCTCCATGAGCCGCCCAGCCCACGCGGGGGTCTCCAGGAGCACAGGGTCTCCGGGGTTCCGGGCCCCTGCTGGACGTCTGTGTGTGGATCAATTTAGATCATGACGTGGGGTTCCAGAGCCAGGACTCGAGGGCAGCCATGCTGCTAACACGGAGCGGGATCCAGGCGCCTGGAGAGGGACTGAGAGAGCTGGCGGCAGAGCGAAGGTAAGAGCCGTGTGGGCCAGGCTCTCACCGCAGCACAGCGGCCGCCCCTCAGGGCCCACCCCTCATAGGGCTGCACGTGGCCTGCTGAGAGCAGACAGCCAGAAACAGTGTCGACCAGCAAGGCAGCCTGGCAGGTACACCTGCGGAAACCCACAGGCCGCCAGACAGGCAGACAGTTCTAGGGGCAGGGCGAGTCTCACCTCCATGAAGAAGGACAGACAGATGGACAGGTCTAGGGGCAGGGCGAGCCTCATCTCCAGGGAGGACAGACAGACAGGTCTAGGGGCAGGATGAGCCTCACCTCCAGGCAGAAGGACAGACAGACAGGTCTAGGGGCAGGGCAAGTCTCACCTCCATGAAGAAGGACAGACGGACGGATAGGTCTAGGGGCAGGGTGAGCCTCACCTCCAGGGAGGACAAGACAGACAGGTCTAGGGGCAGGGCGAGCCTCACCTCCAGGGAGGACAGATGGACAGGTCTAGGGGCAGGGCGAGCCTCACCTCCAGGCAGAAGGATAGACAGACAGACGGGTCTAGGGGCAGGGTGAGCCTCACCTCCACGGGGAAGGACAGACAGACGGACAGGTCTAGGGGCAGGGCGAGCCTCACCTCCAGGGAGGAGAGACCGACAGAAAGGTCTGGGGCAGGCCAGCCTCACCTCCAGGGAGAAGGACAGACAGACGGACATGTCTGGGGCAGGCCAGCCTCACCTCCAGGGAGGACAGACAGACGGACATGTCTGGGGCAGGCCAGCCTCACCTCCAGGGAGGACAGACGGACAGGCCTGGGGCAGGCCAGCCTCACCTCCAGGGAGGACAGACAGACGGACATGTCTGGGGCAGGCCAGCCTCACCTCCAGGGAGGACAGACAGATGGACAGGCCTGGGGCAGGCCAGCCTCACCTCCAGGGAGGACAGACGGACGGACAGGCCTGGAGCAGGCCAGCCTCACCTCCAGGGAGGACAGACAGACGGACAGGTCTGGGGCAGGCCAGCCTCACCTCCAGGGAGAAGGACAGACAGATGGACATGTCTGGGGCAGGCCAGCCTCACCTCCAGGGAGTCCCCGGAAATGACCAGTGCACAGTCATGTTTCCTTCGAAAGGCGTTCAGCTCCAGGTGGGCTTCTCCACGGCTGGTCACCTCCACAAACCGGGAGAAAGGCCCAGTTAGCATGATGGAGCTTCAGACACAGGAAACGCTGTAACAAACTGTCTTCCAAATTTCTTCTGCAGTGCTAGCAGTAAACACCTACTTATTTAATACCATTGTTTCCCAATTTGTGGCAACTCAGAGCAGAAGACGCACTGGCAGGGCAAGCACTATAACCGCAATAAGATGATTTGAGTGAACAGGGGGGCAGCCTGCCCCGTGAGTGCCTGACGCCCTGTGAGCGCTCACGAGCACATGCGTGTGACAGCGCGGCAGCCCCTGCCCCCGCGAGCACCAGACGCCCCGTGACTGCTCACGAGCACACGCGGGTGAGAGCGCGGCAGGGCCCCCCATGAGCGCTCATGAGCACATGCGTGTGAGAGAGCATGGCAGCCACGAACAGACGGTCTACACTCTTGGGGCTGGGCGTCGGGTGGATGTCTGAGGAGGCCGAGCAGGGGGTGGGGGACGGAAGGACTATTTACAGACGCCTTGTTCATAACAAAGCAAGTGACACAAAAATGCTTGTTTTGTGTTTCTGTCATGAGTTTCAACTTCTTGTGTAGTTCAGGCCAACTAAGTATCTGGAGGATTAAACAATGCAAAATCGAGCCGTAATCTCAAAATATCATTAATTTTAGTATGCAAACATTTCAGAAGCCAACACACCAGTTTTTGACATTCTTTCTGTGGAGATTTTATGGGGCATAAAAGGAATGATATATTACAGGACTAAAATAAAGTTTCATGTGTTTCAAATTAATCCCAGACTCATCTTTAAGTAGGTAGTTTTTACTGTGGAGATTTTATTTGTGGGGCTATAACACTGAAAAGTCAACAAAAATTGATCTGAAGTTTCATCAGAATCATTAATAATTTAATTGCAAATAGTAGTCTGCAGGGCCTAATTAGCGATTCTGATGCTGCGAGATAAATGAATTTACATGTAAATTATATTCAAATCACTATTTCTGTAGGTGCAAGTGCTTCATTTGGAAGACAGACACACACCATGTCTGCTCAGCCACCATCAATCAAGACCCAAGAAACTTACTTTTTGTTTGAATCAAATTTCATCATAACTAATAGATACAGTAAACACATAAATTTATATCATTTCTATTAATTTCCTTTGATCTAATTAAGGGAGAACATTTAATCTGAAGATGGCAGTAGATTAAAAACATGTCTACTTTGCATTTACAGCTTGCCTCACAAAAGCGGCCTCTGGACCGCAAGTAACGTGTATGACTAAGAGACAGACATTATTATTTCTTGCCTGCACCACACAGCTTGTGGGATCTTAGTTTTCGGGCCAGGGACTGAACCGGAGGCCTCAGCAGTGAAAGCACCGAGTCCTAACCACTGGACCGCCAAGGAATTCCCAGACAGATGTAATTTTTTTAAATCAATATACATTTTTATAAATCGAATGGAAAGTGATGGCAGTATGTCTATTTTAAAATAGATATTTAGTTGTTAATAATTCTAATAATACTACAGGAAAATACTCTTGAATGTATATCTTGTTTCACTCTATCAAAAGCAGCTTTCTGATCACATTAATATATGTAACTAATAGAAATCTATTTTTAACATTTATAAATTGAGTAAGGAAATTATTTCTCTTTTTAAACAGGTATCTGGTAATTAATTTACGTTCTCACAAAACCAGTAAATTTTAATTCAAAGCATTTAAAGTTCAAAGGGATGTGGACGTACACTTACCGGCCTGAAAACATGTGTGTCCTGCGTTCGAGAAACTAGGTGAGAACTCTTGGCAATGCACGTGGCGGTCTCCAGCTTGTCGCCTGTCAGCATCCATATCTAGGAGACAGTCCCGGCGGGTGAGTCCCAGCTGTCACGAGTTCACCTCTTAAGTCTCTACCCTTGGACACACACCTGCATCTACAGCGTCACTATTCACAACAGCTGAAACGTGAAGTGAGGCGAGAGTCCACGGACGGAAGGTGGAGAAACCCAGTGTGGTCCCTCTGACACCTGCTACAGTGCAGGTGAACCTCGAGGACACTGTGCTGGGTGGAACAAACCAGTTGCCAAGGGCAAACACTGCCTGATCCTGCCTAAATGCAGTCCCTAGAGGAGTCGGGCTCACAGAGACCAATGGGCCGGCAGGTGCTGGGCTGAGGGCAGGAGAGCCGGCAGCCCAGGGGCAGTTTCACCCTGACAATGTGGCGAGTGAAGGCAGGCGGCGGCGGCAGTGCAAGTGTACCTAGTGTCACTGCTCCGTGCACCGGAGACTGTGAAGACGGAGTGAGAACATCTCAGATGATGTGCTAATGGGAACGGCAAGAGCAGAGTAATGTGCAGACGCGGCAGCCGGGGCCAGGGCAGGCGAAGGACTCGGGGCATGAGCTTTGTGGCCAAAGGACCACAGGGCTGGGGGTCTGCAGAGCTGAGGACCCCAGATTCCTGTCTGACCTGTGAGCTTCTAAGTTGAAAGCTGGGGTTCAAGATGGGTAGATGGGCAGTGGTTAAGCCAGAAGTTGTTTGTGCCAAATAAGGCATGTTGAACAAGACCATGAAAAACAAAAAGATCTAGCCCACTTATTATTGTTATTATTTTACTTAATTTCTGCTGCACCCTGTGGCTTGTGGGATCTCAGTTCCCCAGCTAGGGACTAAACTTGGGCCGTGGAAGCCCAGAATCCTAACCACTAGGCGACCAAGGAACTCCTGAGACCACTCTTACTTATAAATACCACACACGTGCACATGTTAGTGTGTGAATCTCCCTAGCCTGAAAAGAGAGCAAAATCAGCACACTTTATACATAACAGAATGGTTTATACATACTTCCCATAATATCAGTAGTCTCTATCATCTGAATTTTTCAGGTGTCTTATGTATCACACATAAGCATGAATTTGGGGCACAGGATACAAACTTGCACGGTATACTGGCTCTCTGCTCCAGTGGCTCTTTTCAGTGTCTGAGGATTTGTGTTATTTCTGTTACATATTTAGATTCACTTTACTGAGCCTAGATCTAAGTAACTTAGTTGGACATGGCTGGAAACAAGCCACAGAACAAGAAGCCCCGCTCCCAACAATCTGGTGACCGTGCCCTGCGAGCGCCATGGCTCACGCTCAGAGGATGGGCCGAAACTGCATCCTTCCACGGGACGGGACAATGGAGTCTGCATCTTCAGATGGCAAAAGGGGAGGAACAAGGGCAGAACCTCACCAAGCCCTTCTCCAGCGCTCAGGGAGCAGCTACGGCAGACACCCACATTTCTACCCAAGACCACCCAGGATGACACCCGAGAGCTGGACTGGGCGGAGCTCAGGAAGAAACACGGTGAACAGGCAGGCTGTCTGCTCAAACCCGTCTCACGTCTCCACCCAGCCTCCTGGCAGGACGGGCTGAGGCTGGTTCAGCGCTCAGAGTCCGAGCCGCTCTCTCTAATTCTGACTCCCACCTGGACAGCAGCCTGAAGTGTTTCTCTTCAGTACAATTCTCAAAAGTGGAGGGCCTATTCTGAGGCAGCATGTTTCTTGCCCCCCCATAACTGCACTTCAGCTTCAGTGAGAGCACGGAAGGCAAGAAAACAAACTGAAACTTCCAGCCAAAGCCCTCGTCTTCCCGGACCCGAAGAGGACAGACCTCTGAGAAGCCAGCCGGTCTGTGGGTCAGCAGGCAGCGCCGTGCAGGTTATGGGAAACCCCCAAAGTGGGTACAGGCTGCAGTGCAAGCAGCTCGGGCCAGGCCAGGGGGCAACCAGCCCATCCTGCGGGTGCCTGCAAACTGGGGGCGGCATGGAACTGCCCGCACCTCTGCGGATGGGCGTCCAGCTGGGGACTCGGAAGCTTCCGGATGTGCTGGTTTCTTCTCTGAGGGTCATGCATAGACTTCTGCTTACAGACCCTCCCACGCTCCATCTTAATATTTGAGTTCCAAGGGACCACCCCAAGGGGACGGGGTGCTGAGTTCCAGGGGACCACCCCCGGGGCAGGGTACCCCGGGGGGGGGTACCCGGTTCAGGGGACCACTCCTGTGGGTGGCAGGGTACCCTGGGGGACAGGCTACCTGGTTCGGGGGACCACTGCTGTGGGTGGCAGGGTACCTGGGGGCGGGGGTACCTGGTTCGGGGACCACTCCTGGCCTGTACCTTGATGCCGGCGTTGCGCAGCATCTCCAGGGTGGGCCTCACGTCCGCCTGCAGCTGGTCCTCCACGCCCGTCAGGCACAGCAGCTCCATCTCCCGCTCCAGGCTCTCCACCACCGCGGCCACCTTGAGCGTCCGGTCGTGGAGGCTCAGCTTGGCCTGGTTGTAGCGGCTCTGAGGATGACGGCGGTGCCATGAGTCACGCTGGACCGACGGGCCAGATGCCCTGCCCACCTGGTGACGGTGGCCCCAGGGGAGGCTGCCTGCTCACCTCGAAGTCCTGGTATTGCTCCTCCGTGAGTGCCCTCTTAGCCACCACGAGCGTGCGTAGGCCTTCACGGGCCATGTTTCCACACTGGGAGAGCACAGGCAGGTCACAGGCTCGCCACGGGCTCGGCACCCCCCCGGGCAGTCACTGTCACGGCCTCCCTCAGGAGTGGGCAGCAGAGAGGTATCGGAGAAGGAGCTGCCCCCCAGCACCTCCAGCGCGGTCCCCGGAGGAGGTGCTCACAGGGCAGGCCTCACGCCATCGCCCTTTCCACCACACGAGGGCAACGGTTGGTGGTTTTGTTTTTCAAATTTGGGAAACAAGTTTATAACCAAAATTTCACTTGGGTGCCTCCCTGACACAGAACAGCCCCTGTAAACTCAGGCTCCAAGAACCTGTGGGCTTTTGAATAAACCAGAAGGCTCTCAGACAACAATAGTACTACAACAAAGATGCAGGCGGGGGTTGAAAGATGTGTCCACAGAAGAAACTACAATGTTGGAAATAAACGCATAAAGGATTTTTAATAAAGTTATCTTTGTGAAAAACAATCTGATATTATCTGTCTAAGACATTTATTGATTTGACCTCATAAAGCTAAATAAATTAAACAAGGATTTTATAATTAATTGTACATCATTATGATTAAAAGTAATTTTTATGGCATTTTACTAGGTCTTCAGGGAGTTTAATTTATTCATGTCCCTGATTAAATCCAGTGCCTGGAGGAGCTATTGATTCATATTGCCAATACCGTCATGGACGTCGGCTGTGGTCCCTGGACTGACAGACCGACTCCAGGCGTGCAGTGGGGGCAGGGTGCACTGGACCCCAGCAACAACAGGCACAGCAGGGGGGTCGTGCCCATGACTTCAGGGCGTTAGTTCTCCTCTGAATCTAACTTTTCATTAACACATAAATGTGAACAACAATTACAAATCGTACTTGTTTAGGGAGAAATTGATGAAAATATAAGATTGTTTATATCTGGGTCTTACTTTCCATGTTTATAGTGAATCTTATGTACAAATTAGAATTACATTAAAATTCTAACTAAAATCTTGTAATTATTTAGGTTACAAAGTAAGTACCACGTTAAAATATAACTCTGGATATAAAGACAATATTATTTCAGATTTTTTAGTGACTAATTAGTGATGCTTTCTATTTTTTTTACCAACATAAAATATTCTTCTTAAGGACCCGCCTGCATATATCCACGTGTATTCACATGAAACCCTGAACATCAGCTGTTCACACAGCAAATACGTGTCGTATCACCAGCTCTTCCACCTCTTCTGCTCTACGGGCTGACTGATGTCTGGTTGAAACTGGAACCTCGGTTCATCCAGTGACCCCAGTGAGTACCCACAGCTCATGCCCTGCGCTGCATGAAGAACCTGCAGATGCCAGCGAGTGCATACCTCCTCCTCCAGCCAGTCATTGTACTGCACGATGGAGGCCATGGCCACGTCAGCGCCCTTCATGTAGAACGTAATCTCTGCCGTGGACTCGTCCTGCAACGAGACAAGCCTGCTGAGGCCAGGCTGCTCCTGCAGGTGAGGCTGCCCAGATGGAACAGCCCGAGACAGCAGCCCCCGGGAGCGCATCTCTCCAGGCGGGCTGCTCAAACACCCCCTTTGCAGGGCTGCGTCCTCCCTGGGCGCCCAGGCCAACTGCAGCCGAGGCCACGATGGCAGCTTGCAAGGTGCTGTGCTAAGGCTTTTGAAGTAAAACCTGTACACGCACATATGCCTGGGACTGCAAGGAAATCCTCTCAAATTTTCATAGTTTGAATGAGCTTCCAGTTTAGCCAATATCCAAGATGTATTTGTGGTATTTGCTACAAAAATTTGACAGCAACTTTATGGTCATAAGTCAGTCTTCAGGTAAACTCTTTAGTGGCTACTGCAGTGGAAAACAAAGCAGCTCGAGTTGATTTCAAAACTCACCAGTAACACCTTGTACTCACCCTGCCTTAGTTGTTTTAGGAAAGTTGCTCCAAATCACGACCATTAGGGCATAAGTTATCAGTCTGAATTTTGGGACAAGCATAAAGCCCTGTAGGGAGCCTTAGTGGCCCTGCAGTGAGCAGAGCCAACCCTGGCCGGGGCAGGGGCAGGCATACCCTGACGATGACCCCCATGCGCTTGCTCTCCGACGTGAAGGGGAAGGTCTGCAGGATGCAGTAGGTGAGGATCTGGCCGCCGGGGGTCCGCAGCTGCATGGACGTGAGGTCTCTGCTGACCAGCGTGAGGCCGACGCTCTCAGTCCACCGCACCAGGGCCACCTGCGGGGACCAGCGAGGGGTGAGGCCACCTGCGGGGACCAGCGAGGGGTGAGGCCACCGCTCCCCACGGGGACCAGCGAGGGGTGAGGTCACTGTGGGGACCAATGAGGGGTGAGGCTCCCCATGGGGACCAGCGAGGGGTGAGGCCACAGCTCCCCGCAGGGGACAGTGTCAGGCCAGCGCCAGCAAGCTCACTGAGACGCTACCAGGAGGCAAAGCTGGCCCTGCTTGTTCTAAGGCCTTTCTAGGGGACCCTGGCCACTCCAGGGTCCACAAGCGTGTGAACGTGACACAGTGAGTCACCGTGGAGCTGAAATTAGAACCCGCCTTCCCCGGATTTCCAGCGCGTTACTAGGATACTACAGGAGGCTGGGCCCTAACAAGATGCTATGAGGATACAGGACTATAATTTAGAGCATCAGTGATGTTCCTGAAATTACAGCATTCAAAAGGGACACACGGACATCAGCAGAGGCATGTCAAAGGGGGCAAGTCAACAATTTCACAGCCCCATGCAAACATAAACTGAAAGTGAAACTCCACGTTCCTACACAACCTCTCTGTATCTGCTCGTGATCTGGACCCCGAGGTTCGCCTTCAGTCTGTGCAGTGAAAGGTTACTATTACATCCTGACCTATAAATTGTATCTTCCTGTGAACACCCTATCATCTCGTTGGGCCCGCTGCAGTCAGGACGCAAGTTTCTATATTTGGTGACTCACATCTGTTTATTATTTAGCTTATGCTTGGTTTCACAACCCCTTGGAGGTAGCATTTATCACAAAAAATCAGTTGGGCTTCTGCTACCTAGCCTAGCATCCATGTAGCTGTTCTTAGTGAGCATTCTGCAGTTTAACTGTCTGTTGCCAACAGGAGGAAAAGTGTTCAGGATGTCAATGGTACAGACACTTAGGACAGACACTTTAGTTACCGTTCTGATGTCAGTTGCTTAGCTCTGGGCCTCTCTCTGATAAAATAAAACTTAACATTTCTGAGCAGGTCTGTAAACAAACAGCCACAGAGGATGGACAGGAACGTGCAGGACTCCTCGCCATGGGCTCAGCACCCCGGCCACCACCACCTGTGGCCACATGCGTGGGGCCGCAGGGCCCGTGAGGGCAGAGGGTCTCCCTGGCTCTGAGCTTCACCACCCTGCCTCGGCAAGCCTCGGAGCTGCAGTCAGCCTCGCAGAGTCCAGGCCGCACTCTCTGTACGTCTGAAGTAAACTAGTGCTGTTCTTTTTAGACGGCTTTGAGGAGTAACTTCACATCCAGAGGTGTGACATGTAGCAGTGAAAGGAAGGAAACTTTCTAAGGTACTGACAGTTTGACTGTATTTTCTTCCTAAAGATGATTAAGCAATTAAAACAAACATGCTGTTTGAAAGCATAATGTCTCCTAATGCAGAATGAAGGGCATCAGTCGAGGGTGGGGAGGCTCTTCACGTGACTTAGGCAGTCAGGAAGGGAGGCTCTGCCAGCTAAGCGATCCCCTGGAGGCCCCGCACAGACTGGGCAGCAATGGTCCACTCAGACCTGCGGCAGAAATGACCGTCTGGTTACAGAGCTGGACAACAGCAAGGAGGTCTGCGATGGCCTCGGGGAAGACCCTCGACGCCCGCTGTGTTCAGAGCTCTACCCCAAGGGACCAGTACCACAGACACCTCCTGAACCAAGGAGAAACAGTCTCTTCTTCAAGGTGGTTGAACAGTGGGAAGCTCAATGTGATGCTGAAGACAGGAGAGAACATATGGAGCCCTGTCTGAGCTCTGGCTTGTGTGAGGCAGTCTTCTGGGTCCTGGAAGAAACGGGGGTGAGAGCTTGTCCAGCATAATCTGGGCTTTGAGAGTAAAAACCCAATTTTCACCCTAGGAGTCCCTAGTTCGTGGTTAGCCACTTCTTCACAAGCAAAATGTCATGGCTTGAAAGAAGCGCCCAGGCCGCTCCATGGTTCCATACAGCCAATGTTCGCACCTGTTTTTGGTGGCGCCGGTGTTCAAATTTTTTGCTTCTGTTTAAACTGAGTGGTTGTTTTCTCATGATCGAGTTTTGTGAGTTCTTTATATGTACTAGTTGCTGGTTGTTTATCGGGTATGCATTTTGCAAACACATCCTACAACTCTGTAGCTTGTCTTCATTTTCTTAACAATGTTTCTTGAAGAATGCAGGATTTTTACCTCGAAGTCTAATTTATCAGTTTTTTCTTTTACAACTTGCACTGTTTGTGACCCACAAAATCACTGCCTAACTCAAGCCGACAAAGATTTTCTTCTACGTTTTCTTTTAGAAATTTTATACTTTTGGTTTTTCATTTAGGTCTATGACCAATTTGAATTAATTTTTATAATAGTGAGACATACTGGTTCAGGCTCTGTTTGCAAATGGCTGTTCAAATGTTCTGTGCCCCATTTATACTGATTATCTTTTCTGTAATGGATTTACATGGCACCTTTATAAAAAATCAGCTGACATCTTGGTAACAGAAAGTCTTCCAATCCATGTGTACAATACATTTCTCACATATAGTGTCCCCAAGTTTTCTTCATTGTCTTACACTTTCCAGCATACAAATCCTATACGTATTTTGTCAGATCTATCCTTAAACATTTTCATAGTTTTCTGTGTGTGCGTTCTATAAATGGCACATTAAAAAATTTCAATTTTTAACTGCTCACTGCTGGTATATACAAATAGGAGTAATTCTTGTATATGCATATCATAATATACAACTTTGGTAAACTCACTTATTAAGTCTTAGGAGAGAGTTAAATTTTCAGCAGAGCTTTTGGGATTTTCTATGGAAATAATCACATTATCTATTGAAAAAAGGGAGTTTTGTTTCTTCTTTTTTTTCTGGTCTACCGAGGTTTTATGTAGTTCTTACACTCCATTTTGCTAATCTGTATTCTTCCTGAACACGGATATTTAGAGGTTTTAAAAAATATTAGCATTTGGGCTGTGTTTTAATATTCTCTTTTAAAAATGTAAGCTCATCGGTTTATTATACACTATTCATATGCATAATTTTAGGTGTGTATGTTTACTTTGCATTCACTGTTTTGTATTATTTACTATTTTTGCTAAGTTTTTCCATTTTATTTAATTTTCTAAAGATCAGCTTTTGAATTTACTGCATATTCAATCATTACTTCTATGTTTTCCCTTATCTTTTCTTTCTCCTACTTTCCTTTGGTTCTGCCTTTCTGTTCAACATTTTAGTTGGACACCAGCCTCACTTGCTTCCTTCCTTTCGGACGGTGCGGTCCTGGTTTGATGTGGAGGCGGGGCTTCCCACTGTTGACTGCCCCCACCAGGGGTGCTCGGGGTGCACAACCACGGCCCTGGCTCGTGGTGCACCGTGTCGGGTCACACTGCTGCTGTGTGGCGTTCCTCACGGGACCTTCACAGAAGGAGAGCTGCTGGGGCAGGTGTGGTGGGGGGGGGGCGGACGGTGTGGCCTCACAGAGAAGCGGTGGGGGGCGGGGGGGGCCCGGGGCTGGAGCAGCTGCTGCCCCTACCTGCTCCCTCTGGACGCTGTCAGTGATGGAAGAGATCACGTAAGGATGACTACTTCTCTAACTTGGCTTTTAGGCATTTCTAACAATGTGATTATTGAAAATAATATGAAGGTCAAAATAATTAAAATGCAAGTGTGAAAAATACGTATTTAAATGGGAGCTTGAGCTAAATCTCATCCACAGGACAGTTAGTAACATGCTTGGGCAATCATTGTCACAGGCAATTTGTTTATGCTCTCACACTTCTCCACGCTAGGTAGCCAGTGTGGGGCAGATTTTGTTATTAATGTTGGCTATAATTCCGTTATTCAGCAATGTCTGTGGTGTCGTTCTTGAAAAGCTCAAGAGAAGTTTCCTTTACCATATTAGCATCTGCACAGCCACCAGCTACACTCCAGGGACACCTTTCCTACTGTGCACCTTATAAATCACAATTTGATCACTGACACGTCTTCATTTTCAATTGCGGTACTACCATCACTGCCATAATTTGACAGAATTATGAACAAAATGTGCAAGCTGACCACCTGGAAAAGCTGCCAGTCAATACTTAGGGCAGGCTGTGCGGTTCGTGTTCTGTCCTGCTCCTGAGGGTCATGCAGGGGGACTCACGTCACAGACGGGGAGCTGTTCCCCATAAACATGCTGACCCTACACCATATTTAGTCCTGCTTCAATAAGCACACACAATAAAACGAGTGTAAAGTTACAGCACGCTGCATAAATCAAAAGCAATGCCATTAAGGACGGTCATTCTTTTGTTTATAAATAATCCACTCACGCTTTGTCATAAATTTCAGCTGATTCCTGCACAGAAACATCCACATGAACAAAAATAGCTACACCCTGAAATAATAGTTAATATGGAACTTACATAGGTGAAGGAGAAAATGTTACTAACAACAGCAGGTTTGCAGGTTTAAGTCTCTGAAAATCTCAACCTATTGATCATTTTGAGCTGAACTGACCGCGGTCTTGGGTTTACGTCTCGCTGGGCTTGCTCACTGGAGGTGACGACCTGGCGCCTGAGGCGCTGCCCCTGAGCTGACTTGGTGGTGCCCGTTGGTGACATGGGCTTGGTCTCAGCTTCCACAGCTGCACTGGACACAGAGCTCACCAGGCCTGGGTTTTAACTATGTCCAGGAATTTCCGGGAACATATGTCTGCTAAGCTGGAGTTTGCTATGCTGAGGCTGTACTGGCAAAGTGACAGGCAAGCGAAACTTTCTACTCTCTTGGAGAAAATGAAATATTGATCACTTATCATAAGAAACAGCGACCAGGGCCTAAGTAGGCTGCAGGTTCTGAATACGAAATCACTCCTGCTCTGACAGCCCAGCCCCTGCTGCACGTGACAGCTTCAAGCAGCTCGTCACTGTTAAGTGTGCAGGGACTGTGCCTCGGACAGCCTCTCCTGGCTTGAAGTCAATCCCCAGACGCCGTTCCTGGAACAGGAGAAGTGCATCTGTGCACATGCAGAGGTAAGGCAGAAGATGCTCTTTTCAGGAAAATGAACTCGAAGAGTTGCCACAATATGAGAGACTCAGAAACCAGTACATTCTACTCAGTAAGTCACACTTTCTGAAACTAAGATGACACAGGAGCCTAAGCAAATAGGGATTATAAGAGTATGGTGTTGACACAAGTATATGAAGCCGGTTAAGTCTCCTAAATGATAAGGTTGCTTATTAACTGCACACATGCTGACAGGTCAAGGCTGAGGGCAAGCAGAGAACATCAATGGAGCCATTTCACTGAAAAAAGCTCCAGGGTGCAATATTCTAAGCACTTTATTCAATAAAAAATGCTTTTAAAACAGTACTTTGGTGATTGGGAAACAGTGCCATCATCTGTCAACCTAACTGTAGCAAAGCTCAATAAGCGAAATAATGAACCGTTTAGATGATTTTCCTTGGGCTCCAGGGACCTGCAAACACTGCATCCACAAAGTGCTTTAAAAATTATGATGAAGTCAAGTCTTTTCATTTTCAGATTTAAAATATGGGTTAGGGATTTCTTAGAGGTTATTTAATGGCCTGCCATTTTTAATCATTGTCCAATTTCTCTAAAGTAGGAAGAAATTTTCAAATAAAAAATTTAAATATAAGGTTAGTAGTTTTAATTTAATTTTAGAAATCTTTAAATTAGTGAAATCTCTCTCTACTGTGAATTCCTAATTTAAAATTCCAAAAATGAAAAAAAGAAAAAAAAAATTCCAAAAATGTTGTAACCCAAAAAGCCTAAGATAAAAATTCTAAGTATTTTAAATAAGATTTGTATTTATTTTTGGAAGGTAATAAGGTAAACATGTAATATATGATTTTTAAAACTTCCAATAAAATTTTCCTTGGAAAATATCTGTGGTCTAGGTTTCCTGTGCTCAGGACTGGGAAAGAATATGTTTTCAGTAAGTAATCATATGGAACGTGAGAGGATTTCTAGACCACTAGAATGTGAAGAGTGTAACTCCTTCTTTGCAGGAAAAACAGCGGCGGCATCCCCCTCCGATGAGCATCTGCTCCAGGCCGACGCAAGGCCAGGCCAGCAGCCCAGACGCCTGATCCCCCGCCTCGGCGGCCCAGGCCCCACGTCCGTGACCGTGAGTGACAGGTGTTTCAGGTGACATGCGTGACTCCAAAGGCCGGACTGAGCTCTGGTCGAAAAGCAGTTTCTACACACCTGCTGGTCAATGTGGTCTGTAAAGCAGAGCGGGGCGGACGGACGGGACCCCACGCTCTCACCCACTGCGTCACTCACCAGGGACGTGGGGCCGAGGGTGTGCCCCGAGGGTGGCTCAGTGCTCCACGCCCTGGGTCCCTGCTCTGCACAACGGCTCAGCTATGCTGCGGGGCGTCCCCACGGCTGACCACAGCCTGGCTCCCAGCTCTTACTGGGAAGACAGGAACTGAGACTCACAGAAGGCAAAGGCTGAGCCATGGGGCAGGCTCCCACTGGACCTGCTGGGGAAGCCACACACACCAGTGGACGTGACAGGAGAGAAGCAGACTCACAGATACAGAGAACAGACGAGTGGCGACCAGTGGGGGGAGGGGAGGGGGAGGGGCAGCCACGGGGCGGGGAAGAGGCACAAACCATTGAGTACAAAACAGGCTACAAAATGGGATGCACAGCCAACATTTCAGTTACTATAAACGGAGCATAACCTTTACAAACTGTGAAGCACTGAGCCACCAGGCAAGTCTACCTTGCACACCTATAACTGAGATGGCATATCAGCTATACTTCAGTTTAAGAAAAAAGGAAGTACCTCTGTAACGAGAGCTTCAAAAATTAAAAAAAAACACAGCTGTGGTAGGAGTTCTGTCAATGCCCTGAGCTGCTGCTCCACTGGGGGTTCACCACGAGAAAGTCAGGACAGGCTGCAGGCCCTCCACTGCACACCCCGGCTTGCATCCTCTCGGAGCCTGGCAGTACCAGGGGAGGGACCGACTGGGGCGGTGGGCCTCAGCTGTAGTACGACCTACTGGATTTCCAGGACGGAGAAGAGCTGGCCCCACCTGCAGAATAAATAGCACTTCTAGAACTGAGCTTCCCAGGTGGCACTAGTGGTAAAGAACCCAGCTACCAATGCAGAAGATTGAAGAGACGCGCATTTGATCCCTGGGTGGGGAAGATGTCCTGGCAGAGGAAATGGCAACCCACTCTAGTACTCTTGCCTGGGAGTCCCATGCACAGAGAAGCCTGGTGGGCTATAGTCCACGGGTCGCAAAGAGTTGGACACAACTGAGTGACTGAGCACACACACACACACATACTGTACCTAAATTGTAGCAAAATACCTGGAGATTTGACTCGCAAGTCTGGTGATTCCCTTGGTGACAGAACATGGGAGGACGCAGCCTGCAGACCTCATGGCATTAGCAAGCAACCTGGCTCCGCTCCCCGCCTCCCCGGACCCAACCCCAGGGCGCTCTGGGATGAGAAGGCACCTGCCCGCAAGGACTGGGTGAGGGCAGGGGTTGGGCCAGGAGGGCGCTGGCCTGTGGTGAAAGTCCATTCTGAAAACCACGGACAAGCCCTCCTCACCCCACGAGAAAGACAGAGCAAGCACTCCTGGCGGAGCTGGGAGGAGCCAGGGGAGGTGCTGTCTGTGCCGTGGGCCTGCCTGGGACGTGGCCTTCGGTGACTGACCTCGTCGGGGCTGGAGGCCTGGTAGGTGCGGTTGTCGTCACTGAAGTCCTGGTCCGCCTCGGCGACCTCGGTCTCGCCAGCCGTGCCGCGGGCCTCATACACGGGGGTCACGTTGTGACACAGGGCGACAGCCTTCACGGCCTCGTGGACCCGGCTGCTCACACTCCTTCTCACCTTGGGTGCTGACGATTGGGCTTTCCTCGGAGGAGTTGAAGCAGTGCTGCTTCCACCAGCCTGACACTGCGTCTGCAAACACGGACGTCACAGGATTAGAGGCAAGCAGGCACACGCTGCAGTTATCCACACACACGCCTGTCACAGATGGCCACGCCGGGCCCAAGAGCGGCTGGGACGACGGCCGCCTGCACGTGACTCATGGGGCAACGACTCACCTGGGGATCCTGGGGCCACAGAGTGCTTGGACATTTCCCGGTTGTCCAGTAACCGAAATATTTGCTACGGTAGTCAAAATCTGACCGTCTCCTTTTGGTAGATTCACGGCAGCCTGGCATGCATGTGCCCAGTCCTTAACAATTCCTGTTTATCCACCACTTCTAAGAGCAAAGTTATGAACCGAATAGAAGACTCACAAATGCTTTCCTTTCTCCTTAAAAACTGTGTGCATAAAATGGTCTGAGGTTAAGAGCGGGAAAAAGCATTTAGGATGGTTCCCTTAATACTATGGACTTATTGGCTTTGCATCAGTCTCTGAAGTTAAGTGTCTGGTTTGCAGACAAGGAGAACTGGATACAGTAATCGCCTCTTGACGGCCCTGGACATACTGCCCCCCTGCCAACCCCATTCACCTCCTCCTGGGTGGGACTGCAGGAGGACCCTGACCCAAGGCCCATCAGATGCTTCTCCATGGAACCTAAGGGTAACTCCTGACGCCCCTGGAAAGCCTCTCCTCTTCCCAGCTGCCTGTCAATCACAGAGCCGGCTAACGAGGGGGTGGCCCCCTGCTCAGCTGGTGTCCCTTCCAGCCTGTGCCCCCCACCCACACCGCATCCTGACCACATGCCCACACAGCCGCCAAGTGGCCCTGCTCCTGCTGACCCAGGCTGAGCACCTCACTCCACTCAAGTCCACTCAGGATCCCAGGGTATAAGCGCGATCAGGCTGCACTAGACTCGTGTTCCATTACAGTGGACTTAAGACTGTCGTCATCTCATTAACACTAACAACCAGAAGCCAAGGAAGAAATCCGTTTCACATAAAAAGCTGGATAACCAGCCAACGAACATAGCTTTCACTAAAAAAGGTTTGTAAGATTCTTCTTAGATGGGATACTACTTGCTGTGTCTATATGACATCCTTTCTGCTTTTAATTTTTTCTAGTAAAATAACTTATTTGGAGCTACTGAAATCATATTCATGGATAATACAGGGTTTTGTTTTTTTTTAAGATGTTACCTGGTACTATTTAATCTAGACACAGATCACAAGAAGGGAAATTACGTAGTCTTCCATTAAAATGTTTTTATCTATTAATAAATATTCTAGGTTCCAAAATATTCTGTATTAAAATGAATGACATCCAAATTAATAAAGTGCTTGACTTTATGTGTTCGTGCACGGATGAGTGCTTCTGGGAGTGTCTGATCATACATATCATACACACACACTCAGGTAAGGCTGTTTTCATTTGACAGCATCTCAAAACCAAAGTACATGCCAGACTGGTGCACTTCACAGAAAAAAAGAGATGGTTTTCACAAAACTGAATATAAGGCTGAAAACATACTTTGTGTTCTTCTAAGGAAGAACTGCAGAGGGCAAGGAGAGTTCAGTTCAGTCTGTGAAAAAGCAAGTGGGGACACAGTGGCCTCGGCAGGTATGAGCAGCAGTGTGGCCAGACAGCCTGGCAGCAGGGAGACCCATGAGCACGGCCACCACACATGGGACAGAAGCCAGGAGGTGGAGAGCCTGGCAGCAGGGAGACGGGTGAGCACGGCCACCATGTGCGGGACATGAGCTGGAAGGCGGCTGTGTCGGCCCTGCTCTGTGGCCCCTGCCTGTGCTGGGGACCCGTGGCCTTGACACCCCTAACGCCAGGAGCCTGAAGGATGGGGAGGAACGCAAGCCCTGATGCCCCGTGGAGAGCAAGTGCTGTACCTACTGGGCTGCATCCTCACACAGAAGAAACCGTTCCTCCTCCTGTGACTCAGAGGGCCTATAAGGCTGCTCTGAAAAATATTAAGAAACCTATCCTTGTCCATTAGAGGTCCACACTGCACATTTACAGAAGAACTAACGTGGTACTCTGTCCAAACCAACGTGCTAAAGGACAGTGGTTAAAATGAAACAGGTTAGCTGTGCACTGATGATCATTGACAGTGAAAGGCAGAAAAATCAGGTTGTCTACTTCTGTTTACTGAGAGGGTTAAAATATACCTTTAAAAATATGAAGAAGTCTTACTGACTAAGAAGAAAAACAGAAGGATTAAGAAACATATTTATTGCCGCATTCCACTTAATATTCTTAAAAATACTGTGTTTACTGAGTAATTTTACAAATAGTTCACTAAGGAAATTTAATACAAATAAATGATTTAAGGTGGTTAAGCCTATGCTTATACAATACAGAAACTGTTAACATTAGTCCCAAGACTCTTGCCTGATTTATAAGTGACTGGCGTGTAAAGCCACGCCGTGGCATCCCCGGGGAAGGCGCCGTGTTGCAGCTCGGCACATGCCAGGCCCAGCAACCGCAGCAGCACTGGGCACACCTGCAGGGCTGGGCCTGCTCACCTGTGCGTAGGCGTTCACGAGGTGGTTCTGGATCTCATCCATCGTGTCCATCCCGTAAGACACAGTGCCCAGGTGAAGCCGCTTAAATACCATCTCGTTCTGGGTGAGGGTTCCTAGGAGAGAAGCAGCAGGACGCCGTCAACCTAGGGTGCTCATTGGCGGGGCAAGGCTGAGCCCCAGGTCACGCCCAGGGCTGGCTGTGCCCTGCACCTCAAGCACGCGCTGTCACACAGAGCGTCGCTGAGTGCTGTCCACACCATCCCCATTTACTTCCTGTTGGGGTCATTTAATGGACTGGAACCTTGTGGTACGGAGTCGACGATCAGAAAGTAAAAGAGAGAAAGAGGCTGATATCCCTTGGTTTACGCAGAGGACCAATAAAGTCCTTGACACAGGACTTGCATCGCTCACGAAGGCACCAGGCGCCCTCTCGAGGGGGTCTTAGAAGCCCGGGCAGAAAAGTGAGCACGACCGGTCTCCACGCTCCAGAGTCAGCCAGAAAAAGAGAGAGAGAGAAAGAGACAGAGAGAGAGAGACAAAAAAGACCTGGGGACCTAAGCTTGATGAAGCAAAGGTGCTTTAATGATTTTCCCATGAGTATATATAGGCTGTGGTACAAGAAACTTCTTTTGGGAATGATAGAGATCAGAAAACCAAACGTACAGCAACCGTTACCAAGGGAACAAGGGGTAATGTTAGTCACAAGGTCAGGAGGCAATCCATATCTCGAGAAAGGGGAATGAGACTAAGCAGTTTTGTCCTAAAGAGAATGTTTACTAAAGGAGACCCAAGCCTGCCTGACACAATGACCTCAGTCCCTGGGAGCAGCGTGCTGTTCCGCTTGAAGAGGGACAAAGGACTCATGAGAGACAGCACGCAGGAACCCTCCCGTCAAACATTCCCTGACAACTTCCATTTCACTGTGAGGACCGAACGCGCTTCCTACAGCGTCAGGTTCCTTTTTAGTAATTTCCAATGGGTTGGGGGCAGGGGGGTCTGGTTTTGCAGAGAAAGTCCGGGCTCTGTCTCCTGGTTCATATCTGCTGCTGGTCCAAGGCAGACTTGCCCCTTCAGAGAGAGATGGGTGGGAAACTGGAAAAGTGACCCACAGCCGAGATTGGCACATCTATCCCTGTCATGAGTCTGTTGTGAACCACGAAGTATTTTCCACTGAACAGAAACAACGCACTCGAGCCTGGGCACCATGTGAGTTGCACAGAGAGAAGGAGAGGAGGCAGAGGTGCTTTCTGGCTGCTCTCCAGCCTGTGGGCCATCCTGCATGCCCTCCTCACCCACCCTGGGACCAACCACCACCTGGGAAAGCTACTTTCAGGAGGGTCCACAGTTTCGGCCTCCAACCAACCAGATACACAACAGGCGCAGTGAAGCACCAGCGTGACAGAGGGCAGGCAGAGGGGAAGCAGTGTATTAAGAACCTTGGTGAGCTCTCACTAACAGTGCCACAGGAGGTCCCAACGTTACTCATGTTATGACCCTGATAGGAGACTGCAACCACCGTAGGTGGATCACTTACTATGAAAACGCACACACAAGCACAGGACCTCAATATGAAATCATGCACACAAGCATGGGACGTCAATGTGAAAACACGCACACGAGCACAGGACCTCAGTGTGAAAACCCACACACGGGCACGGGACGTCAGTGTGAAAACACGCACACGGGACGTCAGTGTGAAAACACGCACATGGGCACCGGACCTCAGTGTGAACACACGCACACGGGCACGGGACCTCAGTGTGAAAACATGCACACGGGCACGGGACCTCAGTGTGAACACACGCACACGGGCACGGACCTCAGTGTGAACACACGCACACGGGCACGGGACCTCAGTGTGAACACACGCACACGGGCACGGGACCTCAGTGTGAAAACATGCACACGGGCACGGACCTCAATGTGAAAACACGCACACGAGCACGGGAGCTTTGCTTTTCCCGCTCTACAGAAGGACAGCCACACAGGGCAGGGGTCGGGTAGAAGCCCTGTGAGCCCGACCCCGGACTGCAGGCCGGCCCGACACCTGTGGATCCCTGCACTCGTGTGGAAGCACAGAGGAGGGGCACCCTCGGGCACTGACGCAATTGTAAGTGTGAACATGACAGAGAGCCATGTGATCACAGCACACGCTGGATCCTTCTCGTGGGTTCCTGCCCTCCGCCTCTGCCCTTGATGGGAGATTTACTTAAGAGACTGTTTTGACAAACGCTCTCAAAAGAATGTATGTAATGTACATTATATACTGGTACATATATGCTGTGCCCAGGCCTTCTCGTGGCAGAGGGGGCTACTCTGTATACAGGTGCGGCCTTCTCGTGGCGGTGGCCTCTGTTGCTGTGGAGCACGGGCTCTAGGGCACACAGGTTTCCACAGTCACTGCTCACAGGCTCGAGCGCCCGGCGGCACATGGATCCTCCTGGACCAGGGATCAAACCAGCGTCCCCTACGCTGGCAGGCGAACTCTTAACCAGTGGGCCAGGAAAGTCCCCCATCCCTGCTTTAAATGGAAGTAACTACGGCATGGAGAAGTCAAAGCAACGCTTGCGGTCAGGCTGTTAGTGAAACAGTCAGCGAGACAAGAACACAGACCTCTGATGGCAAACCGCACGTCTGCCACTGCGTGGCGCTGCTGCAACCCGAGACCTGACTGACAACCAGGTTCGTGTGCCAGTATCTGTGGAGCCACTCAGAAACACACCACCTCCTCCATGAGCGTGCCGTGCTATGCATAAAAGAAAGAACTCCTAAAGTAAACGCAGCCTGACACGTGACAACGAGAGCAACAGGGAGTCCTCGGCCTCTGACATAGGCCAGGTGCTGACCGGCTCGTCCACTGACCTCTGAGAGCAGCTGAGGGGCGGGGCCCGCCAAACAGGTCTCCCTGCTAGGTGACAGGGACATGGCGTAAATGGCTGGATTAAAATAGTTACTCACGGACTCCCTTGGCTGCCCACTGCTTAGGAACCTGCCTGACAGTGTGGAAGACACAGCTTGGATCCCTGGGCCAGGAAGGCTCCACAGGCCGCGGGGCAGCTAAGCCCATGAGCCCCAACTACTGAACTTGCATTCTAGTCTGGGAGCTGCAACTTCTGAAGCACGTGTGCTCCAGAGCCCACACTCTGCAACAAGAAGCCACAGCAATGAAAAGCCCCCGGACAGCAACAAGGACCCACGGCAGCCAAAAATAAAACAAAAAAATAAATAGAATTAAAACCAACCAACCAACCAACCAAAAAACAGTGTTATATCTTATGGTGCAGGAATGGAAACAAAACTTTAAAAATGACAGACAAGACTAACTTACCACCATTTAAGTAGACATTCGACATTATTTACTGGGGAGTCACACATTCTACTTGCGGTACACCAGGCCTTCCCGTGAGCCCTGCGCCGCTGGCACCGGCACGTGTGCAGAACCTCGCCTGGCCAGCACCCCACTGTCCCCCTCCCTCACACCCGGCCACCTGCATCAGCAAACTGCACCAGCGAAGCTGCTCACACTGCTTAACTGAGGCCCCACTCGGGCTCACCAGGCAGGAGACACCGCCGTGGTCCTCTGGGGGCAAGTCACTAGCACACACTGTGCGCATGTGCAAATTGCTGGGCACACCTGTGCTCTGGTGCCCTTGGAAACCAGGGAGACAGTGCTTCCACGGGACAATGCCACCGTCCGAGGCTCAGCAAGGCAGCGTGCTGGGCAATGGATGCTATAATTACAATGCATCCAAGAACCTGTTGTTTCAGAGGATGTTTCAGGAATGGCTTTGTTCTACATGAAGACAAAAACTAACAAAGGAATTAATGTATTGCTTTAACAGGCTGCACCCAAGTCCAGTTTTAAAATTTATGAATCCTCGGCAGCATTGTTCTCAAACAATGGCATCTTGGGGGCGGTGGAGAGAGGGGACGTCCTCTCAGCAGGTTTGGGGCAAACGGCCTGTCCTCCAGTTTCAGCATCATTTGCGCGTTGATCACACCACGCCTAGTATTTCTGGTCAGTGTCAATACGCTCTGCGTCCTGGCAGCTAACAGATGTCTACCCTTGTCGAGTGAATTACTTTATGTTTCACGCACTGGTGGCCGCAGATGTGTCACTATGGCAACATCATTAATTTCAGATCTTACCGGAAACGTGCACTCCAATCAAACCTAATTATAGCACACGGCTTTCTTGTCCAGGAGGAGGAAACTGTAATGCAATTATTGGAATACTTCATTTTCTGTTCTGCTGCGGCAAATGAGACACCCTGATGGACGCTTCTCGTCAGAAAGCTTATTGATGAAGCGCAAACCCAATTTACAGCCACACGAAGGCCCACCTCACAGCTCCACCAGCCCCGTGAGGCTCCTGACAGCAGCTCGCCCCCGCCCCAGCTTCCGATGGGAGGGGCGCCCACACCCCGCTCATCCTGGGAGCCCTCACGGGGCCTCAAGGAAGGCCAGACCAGGGAACTCAAGGACACCACCACACAGCTACATCAGGAGATGAAAGCTTCCAGTTTAGAAAATGAAATGAAAAATATTTTCTCTATTTTATACAATTATTCTGTGTTCTTTTTTTCCCCCTTAAATCTCAGGAACCAAGATCATTTATCTAAAACCTAAAGAAGTGCTATTCTAGCCTTTTAAAAGTAGCAGAGTGAAATGTGGGAGAAATGAAGCTTTGTCTTTACTCTGGGCAAAAACCACTTATCCTTACCCTGATTGTAACTCCAACTCAATAAAGAAAAATGGAGGAGCTACAAAATGATAACCCCATTAATGTTTAAAATGCAAAACAACAGTTAGCCTTTGGAAGACAAATAACGTCACAAAACCTTGACTTAACGACATCACACTGGCAGACACAGAGGCTTGAGCTGACCATGTGCTCTCAGGCACGCGCTTTGTCTGTACACTTCTGTGAAAGAGCAGGTCAGTGCCACCCAGGGCGATCATGTGCGATGGCCCCACGAGGACTTCTAGTCCTGACAGCACCTGATCCCCCAGGAAGAACGATGTAAACTTGGCACTGGGGCAGGAGGCGACCGCAGAGGCCCTGAGAGGGGGCAGGAGCGGCGGCTGGGGGTGGGGGGCCAGGCCTGAAGACGCACTGAGCCCCCAGCCCCTCCCGGGCCCGTCTGCCTGGAGGGACGCGCCCTGTGGGTGTCACTGCTGCATGGGCCCCCTGAGAGGACCTCCGTGGCACCGCTATCCCGGCGGGGACACTCTCTCTTCACACGCACTGCTGACTCTTGTGGCCAGAACTTCGCTATGTGCTGGAGAGGATGAGGACCCTTGGATGCTGCTGGCAGGAATGTAAAATGGTGCAGGGCTGCCATGTCACCTGGTGCAGATGCTTCCCCAGGGAACAGACACTTCTGAGGCACAAATGCGGGGCTGACTGGGCCAAGACCCGTCTAACAAGGCAGCCTGCCACGGGCCACTCCCGCCAACTGCGACCAGACTTGACAAGTCCTGTCTGCGCAGGCACGTCAGACGTTTAATGGAGCAGGAATGACACCCTCCTGCATTAGGATGTCCTACTCAGGAGAACAGAGTGTCCATACATTTAATTAGGTCTTGGTAAGGAGAAGGGACTGGTGAACCACTTCAGTATTCTTGCCTTGAGAACCCCATGAACAGTATGAAAAGGCAAAATGGATAGGATACTGAAAGAGGAACTACCCAGGTCAGTAGGTGCCCGATATGCTACTGGAGATCAGTGGAGAAATAACTCCAGAAAGAATGAAGGAATGGAGCCAAAGCAAAAACAATATCCAGTTGTGGATGTGACTGGTGATAGAAGCAAGGTCTGATGCTGTAAAGAAAGGAGATCCAACCAGTCCATCCTAAAGGAGATCAGTCCTGGGTGTTCACTGGAAGGACTCATGCTGAAGCTGAAACTCCAGTACTTTGGCCACCTCATGGGAAGAGTTGACTCATTGGAAAAGACCCTGATGCTGGGAGGGATTGGGGGCAGAAGGAGAAGGGGACGACAGAAGAGGAGATGGCTGGATGTCGTCACCGACTCGATGGACATGAGTTTGAGTAAACTCTGGGAGTTGTTGATGGGAGGCCTGGCATTCTGCGATTCATGGGGTCGCAAAGAGTTGGACACGACTGAGTGACTGAACTGAGCTGAAGGTCTTTCAAAGTTTAAACACACATATCCACATAGTTCTTACCCATTTTTTGTTAGAATTTGTTTTTTTAACTCTTTATACTTTTTGTTGCTATTCTAATTGGCATTTTTAGAATTAAGTGTCCTCATTGGTGGTGGTATAGAGAAATGCAGTTCAACGCTGATACCGAGTTTACACGTGTTAATTAATTAACTAAGCGGTCTCACCACTCTAGAAGCTCCGGGGGGCTCTTCGGGTTTCGAGGTACACAGTCATGAACTTGCCCTCTCTGGGAACAGCCTGCCTGTCGGCACCGGGACGCTCATCTACTGGGGGTGGCTTGTGGTTCCCGGCTGGGTTCACCGACAGCCATCCACTGGGGCAGTGCTCTCTGCCCAAACCTGCCGGCTGTGGACTGACCACCTCTCCAGGACTTGGCTGGTTCTGGAGACATCTCTGACATGTCTGTAACATCTTGTAGGGGTCTAGGTTTGCTGTCTGCCTGCTTCTTCATCCAAGTTCCAGCTGTTTTCCAGAAAGAGCTCAATCTCTGGATCAGCTATGGGCAGTTTGTGTGTTTTCCAGTGTTGTCCGAGGCTAACTCTCTGAAGTTTTCTCCCATCAGCGCAGTGAGGCTGGGAAGGCACTTCCTCCATCTACTTTCTTGACCCTGAGCTCCTCAGGTCGCTATTTCTGAGTTTTTTTGATTCACTGAGCATCACCTTCCAGGTAGATTCCTCAGCGTCCCAGAGACAAGCCCTGATGAAAGCCAAACACAATCCGACAACTATTTCTGACTGAGCTGTAGGAAACCTGTTAATCCCTTATGAAGGCTGGCTGCAACAGGACACCGAACCATCACCTTCAGGACACAGGGTGTCCTTCCACTGCCATCAGTCTCCCACGTCTCTCTGGCAGGTCTACTCACTGCCTTCACATGTGCCCGCATGTTCCTCAAGTTTGCACCCACATGTTTTATGTGGACCTCTGTGATTCTAAACGGAGTAATTCTTCAGTCTATTCCACACGTAAGGGAGCGACTTTTATTCTTGTTGCTATTTTAATCTGTAACCTGTCACTTTACTGATTTCTTATTTTCAGCCATTGATTTCCTTGATTGATTGTTATATTTGTAAATATTTGCTTCTTCTTTTGCTTGTGGATCTTTCTAGTTCCTGGCTCACAGCAGTAGCTGGAGTAAATGTCAAAGCCTGGTACACATTAGTCTTTCTTCTTCCTGACTACAGTGAGGATTTTTCTAATATTTTATTAAAAATAAGGCTGAATTGTAATTGAGATGTATTTTCTTTGTTGCTGTTTCATTGCTAAATTGTGTCCAACTCTTTTGCGATCCCATGGACTGTAGCCCATCAGGCTCCTCTGTCCAAGGGGTTTTCCAGGCAAGAATACTAGAGTGGGTTGCCATTTCCTCATCCAGGTGATCTTCTAGATCCAGGGATCGAACCTGTGTCTCCTGCATTGGCAGGAGGATTCTTTACCGCTGCCAATGGTATGGTAAAATATGGGAAACCCATATTTTCTTTACCATTTATAGATTTTATTTCTAGTTGGCTAAGAATTACAAAGGAATTTACATCGTGAATTAGCCAATCAAGAAGGGATTTTAACCCTTAGATATGGCTCTTGTTATAGTTCTGGATTCAATTTGTCATTTATTTAGTATGTTATGGGTTGACAAAAATTCTTTGATGAAAAAAATTAAAAAATGAAATAAAGACAAAGCAAATTTGGAGCAGGGAACCCTATGGAGGAGAACCATTTGTAGAGAGGCTCTTTGGAGAATGTTACTGTTAAAACATCAAATTCACAGATCTTATTAATTCTCATTTTCTTCTACCAGTTTGTAACTACCAATCTATAATAAACAAGCCCTTTTAGCGCTTAAGAAACTACCAGAAAGGTGTAACACAGGCAGTAAATAGAACAAAATCTCAAGTGTAAGGATATGGAAGTTCAAAATAAAGAAATAAGTCTTTAAAAGTTTCTAAGAATTTCACATCTCGCTAATTCTGATGATCCTTTTATGTCAGAATAGGGAGATTGGCTCGAGGCCAGTTTCGAGGTCAGTCTGGGGAACTCTGTGAATTCAGTACTTTCACACATGTGCATACACACACCCATAAACACGAATGGGCACAGACAGGTCAGGGTCCCCCCACCCCCGCCCAGACACCTCCAAGTGCACGTGGGCAGAGTGGCACCTGTCTTGTCGGTCAGCAGGTACACCAGGCGCCCCAGCTCCTCCGGGATGGTGCTGGTCCGGACCACGGTGCCGGGAATGTTCTCATCTTTCATGATCATCCACCCGTAGGCAGCCTTGCCCATGTCCAGGTTCACACGCAAACTGCCAAAGAAAACCCACTGCAGTAGTTAGTGACTCAACACCTCATGTCCATCATGCTTTCCATAAAAATTTATTTACAGAGACATGCATTCTCTGTAATTTGAGGTGAAAGAAATAGATCACAGTGGATTTCAGACTTTAAGAGAAATGAATTTGTTGACACCTAAGTCGGCAGGCCCCTTCTCAGCCAGTTGCTCATCCTTCGCCCATCAGCCTGGTTTGCGATGCAGCTGGATGAACCTGGGAGAGGTGGACCGCAGCGTGGGTCTAGGCTCAAAGGGGCCAGCGACACATGGGAGGAAATCACCCCGAATCACTGAGCATCAGTATCTGAGAGGGGTCTTGACATCCACCCCCGTGATTCACAAGAACGAAGAAGAAGCTCCCCCACGTGGAGGAGGCCATGAAGGGGAGCAGGCTTGGGAGGAGGCTGGGCGAAGGCCTCCTAGCACCAGCCCCTGAGCATCACATTCATAAAAACAGAGCAGAGCCACTGCATGTGAAGGAAAAACACCTGCAACTAAGACGATAACACCATACAGGGAGGAAGCAGAGTTTATGTTTACTCTGATTCACACTGGACATCTTGATCAAATGTCAGTCCAATAATTTTCATTTTTAATGCCAAAAGTTTCTAGAAGCTCAAACTTCAAACACCAAGTCGACAGAATAATTATCATCACTTACTTCAACTTACTTTTTAGTTAGATATTTAACTTACTTTTTAGTTATGTTCTAATTTTATGTAACTTTAAAACACAGGCCTCTGTTCATCTGGTATTGGATTGGCCAAAAAGTTTCTTCTGTTTTTTCCATAAGATGACTCTAGTAGCACTTAGTTATCTTTAACTTCACTAACACAATTTTGTTAATATTGTATTGTGACAGTTGTCACAGCATGCATAAAAAATAAATGAACATAATTGCTGAATTTTTGTGTAGCCATTTTAATATTGAAGATGGAAAAAAAGCAACATTTTTGGCATATTATGTTTTATTAGTGCAAGAAAAGAAAAAACACAACTGAAACACAAAAAAGCTTTGTGCAATTTATGGAGAAACTGCTGTGATTGACCAAATATGTCAAAAGCGGTTTGTGAGGTTTCGTGCTAGAGATTTCTCACTGGACGATGCTCCATAGTTGGGTAGACCAGTTGAAGTTGACAGCAATCAAATCAAGACATTAATTGAGAATAATCAATGTTATACCACATGGGATACAGCCAAGATACTCAAAATCAAGTTTTCAAATCAAGTGTTGAAAACCATGTGTACCAGCTTGGTTATGATATTTCATTTTGATATTTGGGTTCCACATATGTGAAGTGAAAAAAACCTTCTTGATTGTATTTCCACGTGTAATTCTTTACTGAAACGTTAATGAAATGTTCCGTTTTAAAACAAATTGTGTCAGGAAATGAAAAGTGGATACTGTACAATAATGTGGAATGGGGCAAGGGAAATGAACCACACCAACCACACCAAAGGCCGGTCTTCATCCAAAGAAGGTGATGTATACATGGTGGGACTGGAAGGGAATCCTCTATTATGAACTCATTCTGGAAAACCAAAGGATTAATTCCAACAAGTACTGCTCTCAATCAGACCAACTGAAAGCAGTGCTCAACAACAAGCCTGGGGAATTAGTCAGCAGAAAACACATCAGCTTCCATCAGGATAACTCAAGACCTCAAGCTTGTTTGCTGACCAGGCAAAAACTGTGACAGCTTGGCTGGGAAGTTCCAATTCATTTGCTGTATTCACCAGACATTGCACCTGCAGATTTCCATTGATTTCAGTCTTTACAAAACTCTCCTAGCAGAAAAAATTTCCATTTCATGGAGGACTAAAAAATGCACCTGGAACAGTTCTTTGCTCAAAAAGACAAAATATTTTGGAATGATGGAATTATGAAGTTACTGCAAAATGGCAGAAGGTAGTGGAACAAAATGGAGAATATGTTGTTCAATAAATTCTTGGTGAAAATGAAAAACATGTCTTTTACTTTTACTTAAAAACTGAAGGAACTTTTTGCCAACCCAATACTTTATAGTAACACTTTTTGTGAGCAAAAAATATATATTAAGCCTACTATTTTGAGTATTATAATAATAGATTATAAGGAAATAGATACCATATACATATTTAAGTTCATTATATTACTAATTTTAACAGGTGTGAAATTTTCTAGAGACCTACTCCAAATAAGTGGGAAAGCAGCTGCCGTTCTAGATGGCCAGTTGAATCAGAGGCAGTTACTACCTTCACTGCTACATACCGTTGTTTCTATTCAGTCACTAAGTCCTGTCTGACTCTTTGCAACACATCGACTGTAACCAGGCTCCTCTGTCCATGAGATTTCCCAGGCAAGGACACTGGAGTGGGCTGCCACACTCTCCTCCAGTTACACACATAAGAAAAATGAAATAAACTATCTTCATGAGCTAGCGTGTTCAGGAGTGTCACCGAGAGGAACATCAACCTGCTTTACGCCATGCTGAGAAAACACGAGGTTACGTTTAGAACACAGAGGTCATCTCAGCGGTGGCGCTTTCCCCGTGTTTCTTCCCCACAGCCACAGCAGTGTCTGAGGTGCACAGTGTGGGCCATGGGCAACCCCATGCCCCCAACACAGCCTGCTGCACCTAAACTGAATTTGTTACAGTCAAACCTGCACATTTATCAGGAGCAGGTGAGCCAGCTGCAGGGCACACCAGGCTCCTCAGGGAGTGAAGCTACCTAAGATAATTCACACATATTCCTCCAAAGAGAGGCTTATTTTTAGATCCTAATCTGAGCAAAAGAAAATAAAAGTCATTTAAATGACAGGCTTTATCTAAAGTAATCAAAACTTTTTCATGTAAACAGTCATTTAAAGGAAAAAAGCTCAGATGTAATTTTATCTGATTTCTCCCTCCCCCAAATGTTTCATTTTATGATTCTTTAAAATTTTCACGACACACAACAGATGGCAAGCGATGGTTCAACAATGTTTCCACCAGGTGATTCACCCACGGCTCTCAAACTCACGGACCACCTGGACCAATGCACCTGCAGGTGGTGATGGAGTCAGGCTCACATTTCCTGAATGAGTCTGCAACCAAGAATCATGAAGCTGTTTCAAGACAGGTAGTAACTACAAGTACACAGTTGAGAAGTAAGAGTATTTGTCTTGGAAAAATGTACTTCCATTTCTTATCTCAAATGATTCCTACAGTTAGCTTTTCAAATACAACTGCAAAGAAACAAACAAAATCCAAATAAACCAAAAACAACAAACACCACATAGCACAAAAACATATTATACCATGAACAAGAGCCAGAGGGAAAAATACAAGAGAACAAAACTGCGAAAGGCCTGAGATATATACATGTGACAGGCATGGACTATAAACACTTGGATACATACGGAAAATTAGAAAAATATTTGTGTGAAATAGGCAAAAATAAAAATGAAATAGTCAATTCCATAAATAAATCAAATTTTAGAACTAAAATAATACCAATAACTGAAATTTAGAAATTAGTTTAATATATTATTAAACTATTAAAATCTTATTAACAGTATTTAATATCTTATTGAACTAATAAATCTTATAGTCAAAGATGAAATCAGTGACTTGGAAGACAGGTCATTAGGAACATTATTTATTAACAGAATAAAGCAAGAAACAAAAAGGTGGAAAGTACAAAAGTAAAACAGGAGCAACAAAGGGTATGGGTGGGTCTCTGCCCAATCAGCATAGGGCAAAGGCAGTATTTAGAGACAAACTGAGAATGTTCTTGGATGAGTAGAAGAAACCTATCTACAGATTCAGGAATAAACATCTATCCAGACGCACTGTGTCAGAGAGCAGGACAGCACCAACAAAGAGCATGCCTGAAAGATGCTGGGAAGGTCCCAGAGGATTAGGACCAAAACAAAAAGCAGTGAACAGCAGCCAGATGAGAGCAAGAGAAATGTTGACAACTTAGAAATCTATACACAGATGAAACTATCTTTCAAGAGGAGAAATCTGGAGTTCCCAAAAAAGACCCTCACTAAGCAAAAACTAAAGAATAAATTTCTGACAGAAGGGAAACTATTCTACATGGAAGTTCTGAAATGCAAGAAGAAAGCATTGATAAATCAAAATTAAGAGGGAATGTGTAAAACAGTAATATCCTGCAGTTTAAGAATAACTACAATTAGGATAAATTACAAAAATGGATTAGGTCAGAAGGGGCAAGTGGAGTGAAACATTTGTAAGATGACATGCAAAAGAAACTAATACCTTTAGACTCTGGGAAATTAAGAATGTTTTTAATTTCAAGGATACATACTAAAAAGAACAGAAACTCTTATAAAACCTACAAACTACTAGAGAAAAGGTGGAACTGAAAAAAATAACAAAGTGGTAAGAAAAGAGAAAAAATACAGAACAGTTACATCACATTAAAAGCACAATATAAAATAATAGATTTAAACTAAAAACACAACAGTATTACAGTAATTGTGTATGCACTAAATAGTAAAAAACTATGAGTAGGTTAAAATTAAACTTTATGCTATTTATAAGAGACACACATAAATATAATTACACAGATGAGTTGAAAGTACAAAGAAGGAAAAGACATGCCAAGCAAATTAAAGCCAGCTGGCATCACTATATTAACATAAAGCAAAGTAGAATTTAATGCAAAAAGCCTTAGCAGAGATAAAGAAAGTCACTTTATAATGAGAAAATGCATAATTCAGCAGAAATATGTAATGATTTAAACTTGGATACCATCAATAGTAAAGTTACAAAATATATAATACCAAAACTAGAATTCAAAGGAAATCACAATACTGATGGGTGATTTTGTTACCTTCAGTAACAGAAAAGGTTGAGAAAACAAGCAAAGGGTACAGAGAAACTTATGAACAAGATGAACAATCCTGACCTCACAGACTGTGAAGCACTGAGATCAACAATTTAGACTTCATGTTCTTTTCAAGTACACAGTGAATGTCCACA